GGCGGAGGCAGCGCCCGGCTCCGCCGGCCCCAGCGCCGGGCTCCGCCGGCCCCACGTGTCCCGCGGCTCGGCCCGCGCAAAATGGAGTCGGGCGTGCGGGGCGGCCGGAGCCGCCTCGGAGCCGGCGGGAGGGAGAGGGGATGGGAGATGCCAGCAGTGAGGAGAATCGCGGAGAGGCTGGTGTTGGAAGGGGTCTGAAAGGCCATCCCGTTCCATCCCTGCCACAGGGCACCTTCCACTGGCCCAGGCTGCTCCAGGCTGGCCTTGGGCACTGCCAGCGATCCAGGGGCAGCCTGGATCCATCCCTGGGAATTCCATCCCAGTCCCTGCCCGCCCTCCCAGGAACGATTCCCAATATCCCATCTAAACCGGCGCATGCAATCCTAGAATAATTCGGGCTGGAAAGGCCCTTCTCGTTCACCCCTGCCCTGGGCAGGGACCCCTCCCACTAGGCCAGGCTGCTCCGAGCCCCGTCCAGCCTTGTGTCCTGAACTTGGCTCGTGTTTCAGGGGCTCCGGTGGATTTGATGGATATCTGGAAGTTCCTGGGCTTTCCAAGATCTGTTTGGGTCGTTTTCTAGGGGATCAGCGTTGATAGCCATCTTTTTGTTTTCATCTATATTTAAATAATCGTTTGCATGAATTCTTAGTTTCTCTAAATTTTTACGACATCTTACATTAAAAACTTTGGAAAAAAATAAATTAAAGCGTAAAGAGACTGAAGAACACGCTTTGGGAATTAGGAGGCCGGGCCCCACATGGACAGGGAGGGATGTGGGCACATGGCGTCCCGTGCGGGCAGCAGCTCCACCGCGCCCAAACTTCAGCGCTCGGCAGGTGGGTCACAGCTCGGCTTCAGAGGAATCCTTGGGGAAAAAAAACCAAAACATCACAGTGTGGTCACGGCAGGTGACGTGGGAGCAAGGGAATAACAGGTTAAGTGCGATTTTAACAAGCTTTTCACCGAGCACGGTGCTACGTGAGAGCATCTTAATGCTTCCTCATTTATGTTACAAAGTGGTTCTGATTCTCCACTGGTTTGTGCTGCTAAAGAAGACATACTGAAATTATTTCCATCTGTTTTGGGAAAGTGGGTGTTGTTAATGTTATTCGAAAGCACCTTGTGAGAAGACAAATTTAGGAACGATGTTAGAAATGCTCTTAGCTCGTGGATCTCGTGCTCAGTAAGGTTAGGAGTGCTTTCTGTGTGGGGGGGCAGTGGTTTGCCGGGAGTCCCATTGGCCAGAGCAGTGTCCTCTGGAAGCCTTAGCGAGGTGCGGGATTGCCCCACGAGGCACGCCTGGGACATGGCAGAGGGCTTCGGGCAGCCCCTCTTCACCTGCCGATTTGCACATCTTGTTTTCAAGAGCAGCGTGAGAAATACCTATTTTCGTGGTTTGTTGTGGTAGTGAAACAGAGAAAGTCGGGGCTGCTGTTGTAGCAGTGTGGTAAACAAAGTCAATTTCCAGTTCGAAAATGTCTATTTTTGTGCGTGGCTGTTTTTGCAGTTCTGGCATCATAAAGGTGCTCGATGCCAGGGTTTGTTTCCTGTGTGAATGTATTTTAAGCTATTCCACTACTCCATAAGGCTGCAAGTGATTTGCCTGCTGAATTAGCAGTTCAAAGCTTGGTGATGCTGAGCAATAACTTGTATTTTGGGTTAGGCTTCAGCAGGAACCGGGTTTTTCTGAGTGCAGGGCGTTGAACTCGAAATTCAAAAGCCATGGCTGTTCCATTCCAGTTCTGCAGCATGCCTGCTCCTCTCCCTGCTTCTGCTCACACTGGAGAGCCCTTCTCCCAGTGCAGGCTGCTGCTTTAACCCCTTGTTTCCTCAGGAGTGCTCAGGGAGCTCTGTGTGCCATGCAAACTTCATGTTAAACACAGCTTGGAAGGTGAGGGAGACATTGTTCACCTGGGTGTGTTGGCTTGGATATCATTACCGCTGCAACTTCTGTAGCCCCACCCAGATTTGACATTGCTTGCTAGGCAGGAACTCGGTTCTTTAAAAAATAATTTAAAATCAGCTTTGAATTTAAGAGCTGGTTCGTTAATTTTGGAGCCAGTGTTTTGGCAAGAAGATGGTATAAGAAAAGTGTTTGTCCTCATCTTCTAAAGAAAAGTAAACAAGGCCTTTCACATGAGTGGAAAAGAAAACTGTGTTAGATCTTTGAGAGGCTTGGTAGGGAAGAGAATGCCCACGGGAGGTTTTTATTTGCAATAAAAACCCTTTTAGGAGGCCTAGGCAGGGAGGAAGAACGCTGGGCAGCTCGGTGGCACTGTGGATTCTTAGGCTGTTTTAAGAAGTGCACCAGAGGGAGAATCTTTGTCAGGGAATGTTGGACTGGGAGGATCCCTGTGGAAGAGAACCGCGTTTAGTCACTGAGCAGTACCTGCAGGTGACACCTGTCCGTACAGGGGATGGCACTGCTGCCCAGAAGAGTTCCCAAGAACACAATCACTGGATCATTTAGGTTGGAAAACACCTCCAAGATCACAAGGTCCAGCTGTTAGCACAGCATAGGATGACTGTCTTGGGCAGCACAGGATTGACTTAGGGCCAGTGAGGTGATGCTCACTTCGTTTGGGTGTTCTTCAAATGAAACCCACTTGTTTTACCTGAAAAGCACCTTTCAGTGAAAAAGAATAGTAATAAAATCCTGCTTACCTTGATCTTTGTTTGAAAGTTGACCCTGTCGTTTCATTAGGGATTACCTAAGTTTTCAGTCAAACCCAATTTGAAACCCTGGGTAAAAAAGGGACTGAGAAGAGTCGGGTGGAAGTGGGGGAGCTCAGTTTATGCGGCAATAAAACTTCTCTTCCCGCTTGTTTGGGGGTTGGTATCTGTCCCAGAGCACTCCGCATTCCGTTGATGTGTCTGGCCTGATGTTTCAGGGATAAGGAGGATTGGCAGGAGGCCTGATCAGCAGCAGCAGCAGCAGCAGCAGGGCGAAGGCAAACCCATCGACAGGAGACCCGAGCGACGACCTCCCCGCGAGCGCCGCTTCGAGAAACCCGCCGAGGAGAAGGGCGAGGGAGGAGAGTTCTCTGTGGATAAGTAAGAGTTTTGTCTTGCTGAGAAACAGCTTTCCTAGCTCTGACAGGCAGGGCTGTCCTGCCTTCTGCTGCTCAGGTAAAAAAGCTGATTGGATCAAGATTGAATTCCTGCCATGCAGACGATAACAATTCTCTTTTCCCTGGGTTTGTTTGCAAACTTAAGTTCTAGGCTGGGAGCGATGTGCATGAACAGGTTCATAGGTGTAACTGAGTTATGGTTTAAATCAAGATACCACCATATTTCTCTATATCCATAGCAGACAGCTCAGGAAGGGAAGCCAAGCATAGCTGCTTCCTGCAGGATGAGATTTGTTTGCTGTTACAGCTGTGGCTTTAATTTGCGCAGCTGACGTAAAGCCAGCAAAAGTTTGTCCATGTAGGTGTTTGCACCCTCGCTGGAATGGCTTCAGACCTGGAAGTGGTGAAGCCATCTTAGATCTACGTGAAATTTGAATTGTCTTGAGTATTGTGAGGCAGCCAGAATTTGAGTAATGTTCAAATATTAAAGTTTTAGTTGCCAAAGTTAAAATCCTTTTAAAAGTAAGTTGGATAAAAGTGAGTTTAGTTGAAGGTTTAGCATCAGTTAATTGTGTCATGCAATACAAAGATTAAATTTTGGAATTAATGCCAGAAGACACAAACAAACAACAGTCCCGAGTATTTGTTTCCAGATTCTAAAATCACGGAACCACAGATTGGTTTGGGTTGGAAGGGACCTTAAAGGTCCCTTCTGATCTGGTTCCAGCCCATACCACGGGCAGAGACACCTTCCACTATCCCAGGTTACTCCAAGCCCTTCCAACCTGGCCTGGGACACTTCCAAGGATGGAGGAGTAACTTTTTTGGAATTAGAGCCTGAACCCAGCTACAAACTAATTATCAAAGGAAAAACAAGTAAATAAATTTCTCAGAGAGGAAAAGACCATGAAGCACGCTGTACATTTTTAGAGGCGACTCACTTGACCCAGCTTACAAACAGCAATTACCAAAGCAAAACCAAGTAAATAAAATCCTCAGGGAGGACAAGAGCAGGAAGCGCAGCGTGTTTTGGAGTGGATCCCTGACTGTGGCTGTTCCGTGGCAGACCCATCCTGGAGCGACCCATGCGTGGCCGTGGCGGCCTGGGCCGGGGCCGCGGGCGCGGGCGCGGCATGGGCCGAGGAGACGGCTTTGACTCTCGCGGCAAGCGGGAATTCGACAGACACAGCGGCAGCGATAGATCGTGAGTCTTCACCTCTTCCTGTCCCCCTCTCCTGTACCGCTCTGCCCGCCCCGATTCAAATTGATCTTTTGAATTTCTGTGCCTGGACACTATAATGTTAACTCAGTTTTGTTAGTTCTGTTTCACATTCACATTTCAGCGGCCTAAAGCACGAGGACAAGCGCGGTGGCAGCGGCTCGCACAACTGGGGAACCGTCAAAGACGAGCTAACGTTAGTATCCTGTCACTGCTCAGAAAACCATTAGCACTGTCTTAATCAGCCCTAATTATGGCTTGCAGAACACCCAGATTTAGCTGCCTTTTTGCCTTTGATCTCCATGGTTTTTGCCACGCTTCTGCAGGGTTTAAAACCCCAGCGATTTCTTGTAGCATAAGAATAGCTTCACTGTTCAACCAGAGTTTTGGGGAAGGTTGGGAGGGACGTTTTGTGCTGGTTTGGTAACAATTCTTGGTTAAAATGAAACTGTTCTACTTGTAGTAAATTTTGATCAGGGTAAACATGCATTTGAGTTACAAAAATTCAGCTGTCCCACTGAAACATATTTTTGATGTCCAAATCCATTTTGTCTTGGGACAGTGGGAGCCTTTCAGGCGGGGTAGTAGGAAGCATTGGGGAAAACCATTAGTTAAGTGAAAAGCATAGAGTTTAGAGCCACAGAGAGCATGAGTCCTTATTGAAACAGTAAATCCACCGTAGATCTTGATTGTTAATCTTACATGGCTTTAAAGAGGGATGAAGTTGTAAAAAAGCCCCAACTCCCAACGTTATGTCATTGCAGTGAGTTGGATCAATCAGCTGTGACTGAGGAAACGCCGGAGGGAGAGGAGCATCCGCCTGCTGATTCTGAAAACAAGTGAGTACCACCCCTCTCCGTGCTCCTGGGCTGCTTCAGAGGTGCTGTTACATTCCCTTTAACCTCTGCTATTCCCACATCTGTTTGGCCAAACTCAGATGGTCAGTAGATCATCCACAGTGCTGCTGAATGAGTCTCCTTAAAAACCTTGTGCCTGGAAATTGTTGTCTTTAAACCATTCCTTGGTGTCCTGCAGGCTCTTTCAGATTTATTTATTAATAATAATTTCTAATACACTTTGGGTTTTGGGATTGCAACTCCAGATGCCAGACCCAAAACCATCTGTGCTCAGACTAGGTAGAAAACACCAAGCAAATGGGACAGAAGTGCCAGTGGAAGGCAACTTTTTAAACTTAATTTTCCAGAACAGCCTTGGAGACTGTGTGACTGAGCTGTAGGAGAAAGGTTGTATCTTTCATTCTCCGGGCAGTTTTCAAAGTTACCTGGCTCTCTTCCCATCTCATTTAGACACTGTTACAGAAGGAGCCAGGCTGGATGAATGACAGAGTAACCAGAGCAGCAGAGGGAGCCTACTGATACTGAGTTGATGTAAAAATACAATGCAAATTTTTATGGTAGTCCAGTGTGACTAATGTTGTATTTTAATGAGGAGTGGGCTTCGTAGAGGACAAAAAATGGCAAACAAAATTTTGAAATACTTATTCCTAATGATTCTTCTCTTTGCCATGGCTTGGTTGCCTTACTGAAAAGTTTCCCTATATCAAAAAGCATCTCCACATGGGTAACTTTTTTATTGTCTGGTTTTACGTGGATCTTTGCTCTCAGTGTTTCAGCAGAACTGTTGGATGTTTTACTGAAGTAAAATCTTTGGCTTGAACAAAACAATTTCTGATTATATCCCATGTCAAAAATCATTCTCTCCTACACAGTGAGAAAAAGTTGAAATACAGTTATTTTGACATAAACCCTTTGCATTATTGTTCAAAATTAATGGCTGCCAAATGAAAACCTTTGAAATTGAGGCTTTCATGATCTTTTTTGCTGCACGTACACAGCATTGGTTTCCTACAAATCAGAAATTCAGTTGCATAAACACACTGAACAATGACCAGAGGCTTCTAGTGGCTGGAATATGATCTGTTACTGAGCACAGTGGTTGTGTGTTTTACTTAAAAATAGCCTTTGGCACAAGGTAGATGTGCTCTATCTCACAAATAAGGTGTGTGCAGTTACTTTTTCAAATTAGCTGGAAGTAAAACTTGTTTGAATATTTGTCTTTGATTCAACAAAGGAAGCAAATCATCCAAAGCTGCTTAAATTCTGGTTTTTAAAATACTAAAAATCTTGAAAACTGTGGGAAGAATGAGTTCTCACTGCCTTGACTTGAATGCTTATAAGAGATGTATTTCAAAAAGGGGGAAAGGAACTCCAAACAAGTAATGCCAGAAGTTGGGCTTTCAGATTTGGAAATAAAATTGACAGTAATGTGGAGATTTGATGGCATGGGTCAGTTTTAATTGTAACATTTTGCTGTGCTCAGAGGTGGCTGGGTGTAATTTTTTTTGCACTCCCTCTAAAGGAGATGAATTTTCCTGTGGTGGAAGTGAGTGTTCATATTTTCACCTCTTAACTGCTAAATCCTTGACAAAATTCAATTTATAACCTGGTACCAGCCAGCACATGATTTTGGAATTGCATCCAGCCTGTAAATCCTTAGTTGTGACCATAATGTGCATGAATTGACCACAGAGAGAATGAGGTTGAAGAAGTCAAGGAAGAAGGCCCCAAGGAGATGACCCTGGATGAGTGGAAAGCCATTCAAAGCAAGGATCGTGCAAAAGTCGAGTTCAACATCCGCAAACCAAACGAGGGAGCTGATGGGCAGTGGAAAAAGGGATTTGTGCTCCACAAGTCAAAGAGTGAGGAGGTAAAGTGCCTTCCCGTGCTCCGGGTGTCCACTTTGTAAAGGTTTTGTTGTTGATGAGCATTTTTTAGAGGGGAGGCTCCCTTCTGGGAGATGCTGACCTGTGGTTGGAAGTTTAGAAAGTGGGAACAGCATTTTTTTATTTGAACTGCAATCTTGTTCATTTGAGCAACATTCTTTTAGCAGCATTGAACTTCTGCAGGAGCACAAGTGGCCATTCTGACTGGGCTGGGTTCAGGAGCTGAGCTGTGCCCTTAGCTTTGTAAGAATTGCCTCTTGGTGAGAGTTTCAGGGGAATGTTGTCAAGTTTGCTTTCTAAAAAAGGCAGCTTGTGTTATTTAGCATCTGTTCTGCAGTACACAGGTTCATGGTGCTTGCTAAGTGATGTCAGCTTGAAGGAAGACTGGTCATGCCTCAGAGACCTTAAACCCAAACTGTGCATCTGAAATTTGTGGTGTGGGTGTCTCCTCACTCAGTGCTGTGACACAGACAAGCTCTTGGGAAGGCAGTTGGAATGATTTATGTGCTCCAGTGACACTCAGCTGCTGTAGAATTGTTTTAAATTTGTAGTTTCTCATTTCAGGCATTGCATAATGTTCGTTATTCTGTTCCAAGAGTGGCAAGGGGAGATGCACCAGGGAGGGAAGTGCTGAGAGCTCATTTGGTAATGCAGGGCTGTGCTAATCTTTAGTTCTAATCTTTCTTTTTAGCACTCTGTAATACGTTAAGTAGCTCACTTAAGAGATTGGTGGCAGCAACTTTGTATACTGATAGTGCTGAGTCCTTTGAAGTGACTGGATAGTGTGTAATGCTCTGTTTGCTCTCCTAAAATATTCCTGCTTTTTCACACCTTGCCAGTTTTTATCCTGGGCGCTGGGGTGTAATACAGGGTGGGGGGCCCTGCTCAGTGTTGCAGTGAAAGCTCCATTTCTGCTCTGACTGAGCTCCCAGTGAGGGTGACTTGGTGACAGATCAGGCTGTCCTTGCTGCGTGGGGCAGTGCAGTTCTTGAAGTGATTGCATGGCTGTGTCCCCTCTGAGCTCTTCCCTGAAGTGTTCATTAAATGCTGCTTTCTCTGGCTTGGGTAGAAGGGGGAATTTGAGTTACATTTAATGTTGCTGTGTGCTGGAAGAATGTATTAAGCAGAAGTATTTATGTACTTCACCAAGATTTACTAAACCTGTAGTTCTTCAAATTCCCTCAGTCTCTCTGACTCACATTTATTTGACATTTGCTCATCTGAGGGCACTTTTTAAAATGTATGAGCATGTATGATAGCAAAGGTGATGCTGTTTGTGAGAAATTTAGAGGCTAGAAAGATCCTGACTGTATTTTCCTTTTGAAAACTGAATCACTTAACTAAAAAAAAACCCAAAAACCAAGAAACAACCAAGCAAAAAGCAATAACAAAAAACCTGAACAAAACCTGTGAATAATCAAATTACTGCCGTGGAAGACCTGACATAATTAGTAGATTGTTCTGTTTAAGAGGTGAACTTCTCAAATAAACAAGTTGGATATTTTTAGTACCATCACATAAGAAGGTAGCAGCCTCTTGCTGCGTAAGCATGAAAGTGAGGTATTAACAAATCTGCCTTCAAATTGAGCTGCTTTTAGCCTGCTTTATTGTCCATCCAGCAGATGTGTCTCCCCATCTCCCTTCTTCATTGTTCCCTGATCCCATGGGAAGCAGTGAGGGGATTTTCTCTCAGGATTATAGGAGAATAGCTCCATAATACAAGCGTTAGGAAAGCTTCCACTGCAGCTCCTTTGTGAGCAGCTTTAGAAGGCAACATGTTGTAAAAAACCACCAATCACCTGCTGTTTCCTCTCTTTGTCCTCTTGGATGTACTTAGGAGTCAAGAAATTAAGGTTTCTCTGATTCTTATCAGTAAGAAGGAGATGATGTGTGTGGAAGTGATTTGGTTTAAAGGTAAATTGTGGTTTTTAGCCCCAAATCTTCTGTACTCTTACGGCTGAAAAACCCTGTGTGCCCCAATAGATTTCTCAGAAATTTGAAGTGTTGTGATGAGCACCTGCATTTCTGTAGCTTGACAACTCCTTGGAGAATGCCCCAGGAGTCTGGAAAAAAGGGAGAATGAGGATCTGGTGCTGCTCATCCTTGGGAAGGAGCTGTCCTCCTTTTCCTCCTGGCTGAGGGCTGAGATGCTCAGCCCTGCCTGAGCTCTGTCCTCCTGTTCCCCTTTACTCTGCAGGTACTGATAGAATGGACTCTCAGTTCTGTCTCAGTTCTTGCTGCTGTAGTCTGACATCCAGGGCCATCAGCAGCCCTGCTCCAAGGAGCCCCTTCCCAGGACACGGGTTATGCCGTGGAACAGAGTTCCCCTTTTTCTCTGCAGCTGCTTTAGTGGCTTGAGTCTTCAATTCCTACAAAAAACAGGAACGAGTTATATTGTGGACAGATCCTAAAATTCATCCCAAAAGTGGAATCCAGGACTCCTGGAAAAACTGCTACCCAGTAGATCTCTGTCCCTGCTGTGGCTCTTCAGACCTCACTAATCCAGTCCCTTCCTTAGAGCAGGTTGCAGTGGGAGATTAGGAAATGTATTTTGGAAAAGAATGATTCATCTCCTCAAAGTTGGGAGGAATGACTCTTGAATGAAGGCTCTGCAGGAGGATTTCCATGAACAGTGATTCAAGCATCCCAGCTCTTCCCATCTCCGTGCCTGACGTGTGGCCATGCTGGAGACCAGCCTGCATGTGTGGTCTCTGCCAGGGCTTCCAGCAGCTCCTGGGCAACTTTCTGCTGTCCATCCACCTGGGCTTTTTGTGGGTGTCCATCCACCTGAGCTCTTTGTTCTGGTGTCCATCTGAGCTTTGTTCTGGTGTCCACCTGAGCTTTGACTTTCTGCTGTCCATCCACCTGGGCTTTTTGTGGGTGTCCATCCACCTGAGCTCTTTGTGGGTGTCCATCCACCTGAGCTCTTTGTGGGTGTCCATCCACCTGAGCTCTTTGTGGGTGTCCATCCACCTGAGCTCTTTGTGGGTGTCCATCCACCTGAGCTCTTTGTTCTGGTGTCCATCTGAGCTTTGTTCTGGTGTCCGTCCATCTGAGCTTTGTTCTGGTGTCTGTCTGAGCTGGTTTTTGGTGTCCATCCGAGCTTTCTCTTGTCCCCACACTTGGCACATCCATCCCGTGCTGTCCCTGGCTGCTTGCACAGCTGCTCCCTCCTCCCAGTGCTGCTCCATGTGCTCAGTGCCATCTGTACCAGCAGCTCCTGTGACCTGATTACCTGTTGTTCCTGTATGTAGTTGAGTCTCATTTCTTCCTTTTGTTTTCTCCCTTTGTTCCTTTTGTCACTTTGGCGTGGACACACAACTGTCACCAGACAAAGGCGATGACAGAAATGCAGGGGAGTCTGCTGGATTCAAATGAGGTACTGACCCTTTCTCTGTCACTGGTGATAGATACCTGGTGTTAACGTCAGCCCCTTCAGCAGGGACGTTTGGATATTAAAAACTCACCAAAAGAAAGGGTTTTGCTGAACGTGGAGCTTTTCTGTCCGTGCCTGTTGTCTCACTGTGCACCATCCAGCACCCAGCATGGTTTTAGTCCCCTTGCTCCTCATCCTGCTGATTTCAAACCTGATCATAAGAGCTTCTATCATGAGTATCTATTTTTTTGTTGTTGTTGCTGCTGTTTTCCATCTCTCACTGCCTGCTTTGGCTCTCTTGGTAGTTTGATCTTAATTTTTGACAGCCTTCCCCATGAGCCTGAAGTGCAGCACTGCCTTTGAGAAGTGATGAGTTAGTAAATCAGAGCACTGTTGAGTCACCAATACATAGAAATTTAATGTTTCCCAGGATTTTTCAGGTTAAGCAACTTGTTCAGCATGTCTGACTTACCACCCGGTGATGGAAGAGGCTGAGGATAATGTGCCAAGTCTTTAGTTGGAGTTCTAAATGACCTTTAATTACTTTGGATAGAGGAATCATCAGGTTATGGAGGGAATTTACAATTTGTTAATTCAGCAGTTATACCAAAATCAGATTGTGGAAATACAATGACTTTTGGTAAACTGTAGTGATTTGTTTATAAATAAAAACAGCATAGGGGATGGAAATGAACAAAAATATTGTACAAATCCACTGATCCCACCACCCAGAAAAGGGAATTACCACATGGCTATCAGCAGCTGGAGATAGAATCTCAGTAGCCTGCAGATAAAAACTGCAGATAAAAAATCAAATGGTAAGAAGGGAATTTAAGACATCTCTAAGAGATGTTTTACAGAGTGTTGGTGTTAGGTTTGAGTGGTGCCATGTCAGGCTGAGGTGTGGCATACTTTTCTTTGTTGAGACAAACTTCCTAAGTTTGGCAAAGGAATTTCTGAGGGAAGAAAAAATAAAATCAGGAGTGAAGTAGGAACCAGCTGTTCTGTGGGATACATCCCAGTGGAATGTGTTGGAAATCAAGCAGCATGGAAGGGGTATTTTGAATCAAACTGGGGATGGAGGGAGAGGACAAAGGGGAGTGGCAGGGATGGATGGGATATTGGGAAGGACCCATGGAATCCCTGGCAGCAGCTTTGGCTCCAGCCCTCTCCATCCCTTGGCAGCCTTGTGAGGGCTCCACAAATGGTAATTAAAGATCACAGGGTTTAATTGCACAATGTGTTGCCTTTGAAAGTCCGAATGTTGTGTAACTACAGCAGAAAAGTCAGTTGGAGTTGGGGAGCTTGAACCTGCACGTGGCATTTGTGTAGGAAAACAGGAAATTGATGAGTGCTGTGCCAGGAGTTGGGGCTTGGAGGGAAGGAAAGTGTTGGATGTTGTCACGTTCCCAAAACACCGTGGCTGAGCTGTAATAGGCAGGTTTTTACATTCTTTGTTGCCAAAAACTGGCTTGCATGTGGAAAAAATATTGGTGTAAAATAGGAGAAATAACTGCTTTAAAAACACCTGGTGGGGTTCAGAGTGTAACTGAAATTTTCCAAGGCTGCTGCTGTTGGTAACTCCTGGGAGCATCCCTTGCTCCTGCAGGCTCAGGTTTCACCAAATGCACTGGGAACAAACCAGTAAGGGAATATCATGGCAAAGGTGCCGAGATCCACATTGTCCAGTGGCACTGGTGAGACTGGTTGTGTTTGAGCTCCTCCAGCTCCTTGTGTTGGAGCTTTTTGTGCCTCGTTTGCTGTTACAGGGAATGCAGAGCAGTGAGGGGTGCTCAGTGTTTATCAAGGGCTAGAACAGAAAACATGGAAATCCTCAGGGAGCAAGATCAGCGTGGGTGACCAAGAGTGGAAGAAGAATAGAAGGAATTGGTGGAACCAGGACACAAAATGAGAATTGCTACAACATGAGAATCTGTACTGGTTTGGTAATAGTCAGTCTGGTCTGGGATAAGGACATGTTGCTCTGATGGAATTTTGGGAAGGATTTCCCCATGGAAAGGGAGGTCAGGCACTGGAAGGAGCTGTCCTGGGAGGTTTGGAGAGCCCATCCCTGGAGGTGTCCAGGGAAGGACTGGACATGGGCTGGTGGCAAGGAGGGGATTGGGCACAGGCTGGACTCAGTCCTGGAGGACTTTTCCAACCTCAGCGATTGTGTGAGCTCATAAATTCTCTTGGACAGACAAAATACTTTGGTTGCTACGGAATTCCAAGTTTCCCGAAGGAGAGCAGGAGTGGAGGATGGGGTTGTGTGGCAGGGGCTGTGCTGGCAGAGCCCCGCTGCAGTGCCCAGCGGGGATGTTGGTGCTGCTCCCTTGCTGACCAGAGCTGCTCCCTGCAGGCTCACGCTGAGGACTCGGTCATGGATCACCACTTCCGCAAGCCCGCCAACGACATCACATCCCAGCTGGAGATCAACTTTGGAGACCTGGGCCGCCCCGGGCGCGGCGGCAGAGGGGGCCGGGGCGGCCGGGGCCGCGGGGGCAGGGCCAGCCGTGGGGGCAGGACTGACAAGGTGAGTGCCACCCGGACCCCGCTCACTGCTGGCACCTTCCTCTTCCCTGGGGGGATGCTCTGACAGCAAGCAGCGTGTATAAACCCAGTGAAAGTCCTGCAGTGCAGAGCTGACTTTAAACCAGGTGTTGGGACAAAAGGGTGAAGGTTTGAGCAGTGCTGTCACCAAACACAACAAAGGGAGGGTGGGTTTTAAAAAGTGTCTTTGTGTCTAAACCTGAAGAATGACTTTCCAGTGTGGACAGATCTGAATGTACCATGAGCTGCCTGAGGTGCTGCCAGAGCAGAACCACAAGTGCTGGTTATTTTCAGCCACAGCCAGGACACTCTGTGTGCATTGTGACCTGCTGGGGGTGAGGGACTGGTTGTACAGCTGCATGTCATATCTTGAACCTGAGGAATTCAGATTTTCCAGCTGGAAACAGGGCTCTTACTGGTCTTTCTCTGAACTCCAGTAATGTTTTTCTCTTCCTTGGTGCTAAGGCACCAGGAGAATACGCTGAAAAAATACTGATTGGGGTTTGGGAGACAATATGTGATGTTGAAGCACTGCAGTGTAGCTACAGTGAAAATTTGATTTGTTATGAATCACTTACTTGCCTTAAAGGCATCAGTCAAATTGTTACTGGTTGGAAAAAGCTCAGTCTGTGTGCTGTGGTTTTCTTCACACAGATTTGCTTGGTTTTGTCCCTTCTAGCAGCCACAGACTGCACAAATTTTAGTTCATTAGTTGGGAAGCTCTGTCCTGACAACAGTATCAGAATATTTTAAGGAATTGAAATGAAACAGTGGTGGTTTGGTCTGAGTTGTTTCACTAATACTCTTCAAGAATGCTGCCATAAAGTAATTCCAAGCTTTCCTGCACCTGACTTTGTGTTGCTTTTGTTTCCTTGCAGTTGGTCAAGGAGTTTGATGTGATCCACACGCCCAACCAGGTGGGTGAGCTCTGCATGAGCATTCCCTGGGATCAGGGACCACAGCTTCCCTCCCTTTTCTGGCTGTTCTGCTCGTGTGCTGAGCAGCTGGAGATGCTGAGCCTGTAGCTTAAGCCCTGCTGTTACTTTTAAATTCTGGTTTGTGGCCTGTGGAGTCTTAGGCAGGGCAGAGACTCTGCAGCTACAGATGTTGATGCAACTCTTATTTTAAATGTATTTGTTGATAAATTAATACCAGGAAGTTCCACTATGGAACTATTGGCTCTTCCCATTCTTCTCCAACGACTAAGTGAAAAGTATGAAATTCTTAATTTCTGCTCTGATTTTTACATGTGGTGTAGAGCCTTTCAAAAATCTCTGTTGGGAACTACTGAGGAGATCCTTGGCTAGTGCATGAATTGTTAGGGCTAAAAATTTGGCACAAAAATTGCTTTAATCAACGTCTGGTTTCTGAGTGGGAAAAACTAAACATGAAAAACTTAATTTGTGCTCCAGAAGGGGCCTTTTCTGTAACATTTCAGTTGTGTCCCTCAGTAAGGATTGGTCCACAGGAAGGATCAGCCCATGGCAGGAGGTTGGAATTCCATGGTCTTTAAGGTCCCTTCCAGCCCAGACCATTCTGAGATCTCTTTAAAAAGAGAATTGTGCAGTAATGATGCAGTAATTTGCCTACAGTTCCTTTCCAGATTAAAACAAAAACAGTGTAAGAGGCTTTGTAATTTTTGGAATAGATAAAAAAAGGGTTGTTCCTGTAGTGATTCCTCCAGCCCCAAGGTGCTGCCTCCTCTGCCTCCAGGCAATAACTCTGTGATGTTTTGATGTTTCTCTTTCAGTCAAGTGCTTCTGCTCCTGACGTAGATGACCCAGAGGCTTTCCCAGCTCTGTCCTAAACTGGATGTCATAAAGCCAACCCTGCCCTGGTCGGGCCTTCCTCTCCGAGGCTTGCATGCTTAAGGATCCTAAAACAACTAAGAAATTGAAAAAAAAAAACAAAACAAAACAAAAAAAAGAGACTGTCATTCATACCATTCACACCTAAAGACTGAATTTTATCTGTTTTGAAAATGAACTTCTCTCGCTACACAGAAGCAACAATATGGTAGTCAAGTTTTGTATTTAGAAATGTAATGGTAGCAGGGATGTTTTCATAATTTTTTCAGAGATTATGCATTCTTCACGGATACTTTTTTGTATTGCTGCTTGAAAATATGCGTTTCCAAACTTGAAATATAGGTGTGAACAGTGTGTACCAGTTAAAAGCTTTCCCTTCATTTGTGTTCTTTTTTTTTTTAATTTAAAGTCAGGATTTTAGACTTTCCCCCTTCCTCCCCCCCAAACTCCAAACTAGATTTTAAGTATTGCACACTACTTCAGTTTCCTTAATTCCTCTTTGGCAGATTTTTCTCAGTCCATGGAATCTGTGGAATATTAATTTGGCAGACTGTTAGTGCTGTATGGAATGAACTCCTGGAGTACTTAAGTTTTTATGCTTCACTTCCAACATGGAAAACCAGCCATTTTTTCATCTCTGTTGGGTAGTTTGTTTACACCAAATCTTTCTAGAAAATTGAAGGCAGATACTTGAAATCAAGATTCAAAGCACATTGGTTTATGATTCAATTCCTGTGTATGGATCCAGCAATGGGTAACTGGTCTGAAAACCAGGTTTTTAAAATTCCTGTATCCCACCTTGCACTCCCCCTCTGGACCTTTTCCTCCTCCTTCCCTTCAACAGAACAAGATGCTTTTTTTGGCAAAAAAAAAGAGTTTTTTAATTACCTTTGCTTTTTGTTTGGAAGGATACCCTGAGACTGGGGGAATTCCTTGTTGGAGCTGGGATACCCTGAAACAGAAGGAATTCCTGTCCTTGGAGCTGGGATTCCTTGAGAATGGAGGAATTCCTGTCCTTGGAGCTGGGATTCCTTGAGAATGGAGGAATTCCTGTCCTTGGAGCTGGGATTGCATGAGAATGGGGAAATTCCTTTCCTTGGAGCTGGGATTCCATGAGAATGGAGGGAAATTCCTTTCCTTGGACCTGGGATTCCATGAGAATGGAGGGAATTCCTTTCCTTGGAGCTGGGATTCCATGAGAATGGGGAAATTCCTGTCCTTGAAGCTGGGATTCCATGGGAATGGGGAAATTCCTGTCCTTGGAGCTGGGATTCCAGGAGTGTGGGGGAATTGTTGGAGCTGGGAGTGGGGGGAAGGTGGCAGCTCTGCAAACCCAGGGATCCCAGGTGGGATGTGGGATTGCCACACAGGTGCAGCAGTATGCCCAGCATTCCCAGCACTGCTCCAGGTGCTCCCAGGAAGGAGCTGGGCTGGCTCAGGAGGGAGTTGTGCCTCATGGCTTCGGACTGGGACAATCTGTGCATGGGGCACCAGAAATCCACCCCAAAACCTCAACACTTCACCTCTCCTTCCAAAGGCAGCTCTGGCTCAGTGCAGTGCTCGGGATCTGCTTGGGACCTCACCAAGGAATGCTTTTCCAGAGAATGCCTGTAAGAAATTCCTTCTCCTCCCTCAAAATCCACCATAGGTTCAATTTCTTCCCTGTGTTTCCCTTAAGTACACAAGAAGAGTTGAGGGAATGGCTAGTAGAGGATCTTGTAGGGGTTTTATCAGTATTTGTTAGGAGAATAGCAACAGATCTCCCATTTTATTTCATGTTTTCCTCTTTGGCTAGCTAAGAACATATTTGTAGTTTCGTAGGTAGGTAGAAAACTAAAGGTAACACCCTATTTTTATAAAAACTGTGCAGGACAGGCAGGAAGTGTTGGAGACCTTGGAGTGTGGAATACCAGCCTGCCCAGCTGGGTGTTGGCAGCTGCCCTTGCTTTTCCTGAGCTGTTTTCCACAGGAGCTCCTGTTGTGACCCACTGTGAGTACCATGGATCAGTTCCCTCACCTGTTTCAGCCCCAGGCAGGAGGAGGGGGCAGATTTTCCGTCAGAGGGTGGGAAAATCCCTTGGTTCTCCTCTCCTGACTCTGCTCTCAGTGTGGGGCTGTTGTAGGAGCAGAGCTGTTCCTTTTCCTGGTGGGATGTGCTGCACTTCAGCCTTAGGGACAGCCTGGATAACACCCAAACACATGGAACAAAGCTTTCTCTGGAATACAGCCCATCCTCGATCCAAACTGCTGCTCCAGTTGCCACCCAGGTGATTTTGCTGGCTGGATTTTTCCCTTTCCCTGCTCTAGAGCATTCCCAAATGGCACCTAGAGTGATTTTCAACACAGCTTGTAACTTAAAATTGGTCCTTCTGCTGTTCTGCCAGATGTAAATTCACCTCTTTCAGTCCCTTTGTGTCAAGAACTAAAACTGTGAACATTTATCTTTAATATTGGTGGGTGTTAACTGAAATAAAAGATTATTTTCATGCTCTTTAAAAAAATGTCCTGAAAACCACATGGAAATGAAGCCACTGAGGTTCATGGTGGCTCATTAGGGTCTGTCCCAGGAAGTCCAGCTTGCATTCCCTTTCCCAGGATGGATTTTGCCTTGAAAAAGAATCTTCCAAGTAGGTTATTTATGATTCATGAACTTGCTTTTGGTAACATTTTTTGTACTCTTGCTTGCTCCTGCTGTTACACCAAATCTAGGGACTGCAGCTTTTAAATTCTGATCCTTTGGAAAAGAGCAGAGAAAGTTGGAGGCGTGGAGCAGATTGGCTTTGGAGTGAGCCACGGGCAAGGTTTGAGCAGGGGAGTTGTCTCGGGTCTGGGATGGTGGGAGGGGGCAGGGGGGAGTGACTGGTCAGTCCAAGAGTTAGCTGTGTGGGAAAGGACTTGGATTCTCCTGGAACGTGGGGAATTGAGCAGGGGAGTTGTCTCGGGTCTGGGATGGTGGGAGGGGGCAGGGGGGAGTGACTGGTCAGCTCCAAGAGTTAGCTGTGTGGGAAAGGACATGGATTCTCCTGGAATGTGGGGAAGCAGTGGGAATGTGTGGTGGCAGCAGTTGGAGGAGCTGAGCCCACCCCACCTGTAACTGTGCCCACGGGGGTGGCTTTGCACAGACAGAGCTCTGGTTTAATAAACCCAGCACTGACAGCCAGCTGTGCCCCTTCCAGCTGTGCCAGCTGCTGCTTCCCAGAGTCATTCCAAGGACCAGGCTCCCTGCCTTGGGCACTCTGGGCTGCTCTGCCTGTGCCAGGTTCCATGCTCAGGGTGTCCCAGGACAGCCAAACTTGGCATTCCTGCTGGAAAGGGTGTCCTGAGGGGGAATAACTCCTGGGGTGCTGAGGGACAGCACTGGGAGACTTCCAGGCTGGAGTTACAGAGCTCTCATCCCTGTCTCTTGGAGCAAGGCTGGACATCAAAACCCCACGTTGTGATTGATTTGGAGATTTGCAGGGTGAGGAGAAAATGAATTCTAATGTTCTCTTATCCTTAGGGTGAGGTAGAAAATCAACATGCAGAAAAAGATGAATGGCAAAATAGTGCTGTATGGAAAAAACCCTATTTTGGCATCTGATCTGCCTTTCTAGCTGTTTGGTTTGCAGAGCTGACTTGAGGGGCTGAGTTGTGGTGCTCAGGCAGAATCCTCTTACCAGGGTGCTTCCCAGGCAGGGTGTGGAGAGCAGGCAGCAGGTTCTGGTTTTTTGGATGTCTGACCCAGTTGTGAGGGAGATGTTTTCCTTTGCTGTGACACAGGTGGGAGCAGAGCTCAGAGCCCAAAGTGCAGTGGCTGAGCTGGTATTTGGCAATACCCAAATCTGCACTTGAATGGTGGCAGCAGCAGTTCTGTCCCTGCCAGGGGACACAGAGGATGCTCCAGGTGAGTTCATACCTGGAGTGCTCCATCTCTAACTGCAACGTTTCAGCTTTATTTACTTTTTAATTGTTCTGTGTAAAGCTGGAACTTGACCAGAGAAAACAACAGGAAGCCAAGTTCAGGTTTCCAGCATTTTATTTATATACACACATCTGGTAAACAAAGTCATTAAATGTGTAACACCCTTGCAGCCTGTAATTAGAACACTCCAATAAATCACTTAAATTCCTCTTGACAATCCATTTGGCTGAGTACAGATGCTGCCTGCTGCTTTTAGTTCTGGTGAGGAATTTTCCTGTCCTGAACTGAGGCAAGGAAGGGGCTCTGGTGCTGTGTCCCTCCTGGGTCTGGTGGCACTGGGGACTCTGACTTGGTGCCAGGGGAGGAACAGCAGGTGCTGAGCTGTTCCATCCTTCCCTTTTGCAGTTCCTTGCTCTTTCTGGTGACTTCCAGCTCTGATCCTGGGCTGGGCCGTGGGACAGGGCTTGAGGCAGCCCAGGCTGCAGGAAGAGCTCCCAAAATCCCCCAAATCCAGCTCTGGCATCCCCAGCTGTGCTGACTGCAGAGGAGCACCAATGGTGAGGTGTGGTTGGGAAGGGTTTTGTCACTCAGAGGTGTCACATGTGAGGGACTGGACTGGCTGTGCTGAAATACTGAAATATTTTGTAAATGCTAAAATCCAGGCTGGGCTCACATCAAAACACTGAAATACTCTGTAAGGTGCTGAAATCCAGCCTGGGCTCACATTGAAACACAAAAATGCTCTGTAAGGTGCCGAAATCGAGGCTGAGCTCACATTGAAACACTGAAATGTTTCTGTAAAGTGCCAAGACTCTGTAAGGTGCTGAAATCCAGCCTGGGCTCACATTGAAACACCAAAATGCTCTGTAAGGTGCCGAAATCCAGGCTGAGCTCACATTGAAACACCAAACTATTCTGTAAGGTGCTAGAATCCAGGCTGAGCTCACATTGAAACACCAAACTATTCTGTAAGGTGCCAAACTTCCTGCCGGGCTCGCATCGAACCACAGAAATACTCTGTAAAGTGCCGAAATCCGTGCCGGGCTGCCATCGCCCCCTGCCTACCTCGGGAAGGAGCTGCCGCTGAGCTTCACTCGATCCAGAGTCAGGTTCCCTTGGCAGCCGAGGACGGGAGGCAGGAATGCGCTTGGGAAGACGGAGATGGGGCTGGGCTCGGGCTCGGGGGCCGGCTCGGGCTCGGGGCCCGGGCTGCCGGGGCTGGAGATGTACTCGGCCACGGGCTCCGGGGGCTCCATCGCCTCCACCAGCAGCCGCCGGTACAGCTCCGGCAGCGGCTGCTGCTCCTCCGGGCTCTCCTGTGCCCAGTCCCCGCTGCCCACCGCCGGCTTGTCCCGGGGCTTGGGGGGCTCACGGGGGGCGGAGGTTTCCTCCACAGGGCTGGTTTCGGGCTCCTCGAAGGCGCCGGGCAGGAAGGGGCTGGAGGGAGCGCTCAGCTCCGCCTGCGGGGGGACACGCAGTGAATCCCGGCACGCATCTCCCGGGACGCGCTCCCGCAGCAAACGGGACATCTCGCCCTCTTCTGGGCTTTAATTCGCCCAGCGCACCCTCCAGCCTCCTCCAGCGGAGATTGTCTGCTGCCACGGATTGCTGGATTTGCTGCTTTGGGAGATTACTGGCTCGCATGGCTCCAATGGCCTTTTTTTTTTTTTTTTTTTTTTTTTTTAATGAAGGTTGTGGGATTAGAAGGAAAAACCCCTCTAATTTACCTTGGCAGCCGCTAAGCTCTTGGCCCACGTGGCATTGGCAGGGTCGGGAATGGCTTTGCTCTGCCACTGCGGCAGGAGGAGGGACAGGAGACCCTGGAACCTGCAGGGGGGATAAAGGCAATTAAAAAGGTGGGTGGTGAGACCTGTAGCACCCTTGTGCTCCTTGGGTGTGGAACTAACCCGGGTGTGACCACCCTCAGAGGGACCTGCAGAGCTCTTGGCTGGCTGGGGATAACTCCCAGGGATTGCTCCCCTTCAGTTTGGTTTCAAGATCTGGTTGAAAATTCACAGTATCTATGGTCTACAGGTGTATTTTAAGCTCAGAGCCTATTTTTACTTTCATTCATGTACTCTGAAACCTTAATCTTGAATAATCCTCACTGCTCCATGCTCATGAAGAGGCATGGCCATCTTGTAGGACAAGGGAAAATGGTTTTAAACTAACAGAGGGTCGATTTAGATTAGATAGGAGTAAAGATTTTTAAAATGCACTGGCACAGGTGCCCAGAGCAGCTGTGGCTGCCCTGGATCCCTGGCAGTGCCCAAGGCCAGGCTGGACATGGGCTGGAGCACCTGGGACAGGGGAAGTGTCCCTGCCAGGGCAGGGTGGCACTGGCTGGGAGTTAAGATCTCTTTCCACCCAAACCATTGTGGGATTTAATCCCTCCTGATAACACCCCGGTTTTACTGGGACACAGCTGCTGGATCCACTCACACTCTCCTTGCTGGGGGCACAGAACAAAGGCAGGCTGAGAGGACGAAGAAGCTGCAGACGAGCACCAGAGTCAGCCAGCCCCCAGCACCTGGAACGCAGAGCAGCCACCATTCAGCTCCGTCAAAAAGATGAAAAAAATCCCAGATCTTTCTGTGCTTCATAAATAAACCACCCTTCACCACAGAGGAGACACCTCAGCACTGGGAGCTTAAAAAAAAGAGATTCCACATCTCCAACCCAACTGAAACTGCAAATCTTCAGCACCAAGAGATCTTCAGACCACTTTGGAGAGCTCCAGTGCCCGCAGAGGAGCAGGAAAAGCATTCCCAGGGTGTGAGGGGCTCCAGTGCCCGCAGAGCAGCAGGAAAGGCATTCCCAGGGTGGGAGGGGGCTCCAGTGCCCGCAGAGGAGCAGGAAAGGCATTCCCAGGGTGTGGGAGGGGATCCAGTGCCCGCGGGGGAGCAGGAAAGGCATTCCCAGGGTGTGGGAGGTGATCCAGTGCCCGCGGGGGAGCAGGAAAGGCATTCCCAGGGTGTGGCAGGGACCCAAGGGAAGCACGACTCCTTACTGTCCAGGCAGACGCTGTCGCTGTTGCCCCGGGGCCCCTCCCCGGCCGCGGTCGCCGCTGTCATCCAGAGCTCGTGGGGCTCGCCCGGCTCCAGCGGAGCGAGGTGCAGCGAGCGAGGAGCCTTCCCCGCGGGAACGGCTGGGAAAAGGCATGGAAATGGAGAGCTGGCACGGGCTCCGAGCCAAGGGAGGACGGGGACGGGGAGGAATAAGGGAAAAGAACTGGAAGAAGAATAAGAGGGGAAAAGAGGAGGAAGAAGAGGAGGAGGAAGAGGAGTAAAGAAAAAGAAAAGGAAGATGAGTAAGAGAAAAAAGAGGAAGACAAATAAGAGGAGGAAGACAAGAGGAGGAATGGGGAAAAAAAGAGAGAAGAATAAGAAAAAAGAAAAGAAGAATAAGAGAGGGAAAGAGGAGGAAGAAGAGGATTGAGGGAAAAGGAAGATGATTAAGAAAAAAAAGAGGAAGACAAGAGGAGGAATAGGAAAAAGAAGAGGAAGAAGAAGAGGAGGAATAAGGAGAAAGAAATTGAAGAATAATAAGATGAAAAAGGAGGATGAAGAGGAGGAGGAAGAAGAGGAGGAGGAATAAGGAAAAAGAAAATGAAGAAAAATAAGAGGAAAAAGGAGGAGAAAAAAGACGAGGAGGAAGAGGAATAAGGAAAAATAAAAAGAAGAGGAGGAAGAGAAAAAAAGAGGAGGAAGAGGAATAAGAGGAGGAATAGGAAGAAGAAGAAGAAAGAGGAATAAGAGGAGGAGGAAGAAAAATAAGAGAAGAAGATGAGGAAAATAAGGAAGGAAGAAGAGAAGATGAGGAAAATAAGGAACAAAAAGATGAAGAGGAGGAAGAAGAATAGGAGGAGCAGGGATAAATCTGATAGTGGTCCCACAGGAGACCTTCAGCAAAGACAGGGGAGCAGGGGCAGCATTTCCAGCCCGGGCACCCACCATGGACCTGGGGCTGGCCCTGCCCATCCTTCCTGTGCAGGTAGATGTGGTAGGCAGTGATGCAGCCCCTCTGCTGGGGGGCCGGGATCTCCTCCCAGGAAACCAGGACACCGCTGGCCGTGGGGGTGGTGAACATCTGGGGCCCAGCTGATGGGGCTGCAAGACACAGGAGTGCTGTTAGGCTGAGCTTAAAGTGCCTTACAAACTCCTGGGCGGCATTCCTGGGCTTTACCTTGAGCTGTGGAGTTTCCCCTGACTGAAGCTGCCCGCCCGGCTCTGTCCTGATAAAGTGCAGACACGTGGATCTGATAGCAGACGTTGTCCCTGATGTGCTCTGGGGGGAGAAGTCACAGCTGCAGAGCTGCTTCTCCAAGGATTTGCAGTCAGGGCAGAAATACTGCAGCAGCTGCTTCAATCTGAGATAACTCTTGTGATTATTCACAGATCTTTCGTAAAGAAGGGAAAGAAGTTTTCTCTGATCTACTGAGCCTGGCAGAGCCTTACTGGGCTTTAAATTGAAAATTGATGGCTTGCCACTGCCAGAGGAAAGGGATAAATGGGATATTGGGAAGGAATTGTTCCCTGGGAGGGTGGGCAGGCCCTGGCACAGGGTGCCCAGAGCAGCTGTGGCTGCCCCTGGATCCCTGGAAGTGATTTTAGTAAAAATTATAGAAATATATAGAAAATATATAGAATATATAGAAAATATATAGAATATAGAATCTATAGAAATCTATAGAAATATAGAATCCCAGAGTAGTTTGGGTTGGGAGGGCCCTCAAATCCCACCCAGTGCCACCCCTACCATGGCAGGGACCCCTCCCACCATCCCAGGCTGCTCCAAAGCTGGCCCTGGAGCCCAGATTCCCACCTGGCTTGCTGCTAAGATCATTTCCCAGGCACGCTGGTGCCGTGCCCGGCCCGGGCTGGCGTTACCTGCTATGACAGTGGCCAGGTGGGACGGGGGCAGCTTGAGCCAGCGGTGCTGGGGCTGCCGGCGGGGCTCCCTCCAGGGCTCTGCCCACTCCAGCAGGTAGCCCCCGACGGGCACGGCGGCTCTGGCAGGGGGGCTCCAGCTCACCAGGATGCTGCTGTTGCCCAGGCCCACGGCAGAGACCCGCTGGGGAGGGGGCAGGTCTGGCAGGGGAGGACAAAAGCCAGCGTCAGCACGAGGTTCTTGCAGCCTCAGTCAAACGGGGGATTTGGGGTGTGGGGTTTGCTGGGTCTCGCCCACTTGGGCGCCGTGGGGAGGATAAAATGAGTTCTAGTGATGAAGAGAAGGTGCTGATGGAGGGTGAGGGTTTGCTGGCAGGAACGGTGACATTCCTGGCTTTTCTCATGGCTGGGACAGCTCAGCCTGGCTGTGCCATCCCAAGCTGGCAGGGCACGCCCCAGCACCCTGCCCCAATGGAAGCGCGAGGATGTGGAGCTGCTGCAGAGATTCCAGAGGAGGAACGGGGATATCCCAAGGGCTGGAGCCCCTCTGGCTGAGAGCTGGGGCTGCTCACCACAGGGAAAAGCAGATCTGCAGGTGCCTGAAGTTCACTGAGGGAGCACGAGGTGGAGGGACCACAACACCTGCAGGGGTGCGGCACGGAGCAGAGCCGTGCTCCCGGCCAGGCCGAGCTGCAGAGCCTCACCTGGGCTCAGGTGGGTCAGGATGGGCACAGGGCCTCACCTGGGCTCAGGTGGGTCAGGATGGGCACAGGGCCTCACCTGGGCTGCCAGGTGGGTCAGGATGGGCACAGGGCCTCACCTGGGCTCAGGTGGGTCAGGATGGGCACAGGGTCTCACCTGGGCTGCCAGGTGGGTCAGGATGGGCACAGGGTCTCACCTGGGCTCAGGTGGGTCAGGATGGCTGCAGGGTCTCACCTGGGCTGCCCAGGTGGGTCAGGATGGGCACAGGGCCTCACCTGGGCTCAGGTGGGTCAGGACGGGCACAGGGCCTCACCTGGGCTGCCCAGGTGTGTCAGGATGGGCACAGGGCCTCACCTGGGCTCAGGTGGGTCAGGATGGGACCAGGGCCTCACCTGGGCTCAGGTGTGTCAGGATGGGCACAGGGCCTCACCTGGGCTCAGGTGGGTCAGGATGGGCACAGGGTCTCCCCTGGGCTGCCAGGTGTGTGAGGAGGGGCAGAGGGTCTCACCTGGGCTGCCAGGTGTGTCAGGACAGGCACAGGGCCTCACCTGGGCTCAGGTGGGTCAGGATGGGCACAGGGGCGGAGCTGCCCCGCGCGTTGTGCGCGGTCACCGTGACCCTGTGGGCCACCCTGGGGGTCACCCTGGAGAAGCTGGTCTGCGTGGTCCAGTGGGACTGCGCCCGGAGCTTCCCCTGCTCCAGGGCTTCCAAGGTGACGGTGTAGCCCAGGATTGTCCCTCCTGCCTCCGAGCGGCTCAGAGCCTGCGGGGAGAGCGCGGTGTCACCGGCGGGGAGCACTGGGAACCAGCTGGGAGCACTGGGAGCACTGGGAATGCAGCTGGGAGCACTGGGAACCAGCTGGGAGCACTGGGAACCAGCTGGGAGCACTGGGAACACCGCTAGGAGCACTGGGAACCAGCTGGGCGCACTGGGAACCCCGCTAGGAGCACTGGGAATGCAGCTGGGAGCACTGGGAACCCCCCTGGGAGCACTGGGAACCAGCTGGGAGCACTGGGAACGCAGCTGGGAGCACTGGGAGCACTGGGAGCCCCGCTGGGAGCACTGGGAACCCCTCTGGGAGCACTGGGAATGCTGGGCAGGGACTGGGGATGAGGGGACAGGATCCAGGGAATGGCTTTGCAGGGACGGATGGGATACTGGGAATGAGGAATTGTTCCTGGAAGGGTGGGCAGGCCTGGCACAGCTGTGGCTGTCCCTGGATCCCTGGCAGTGCCCAAGGCCAGGCTGGAGCAGTCTGGGGCAGCAGAAGTGTCCCTGCCATGGCAGGGGTGGCACTGGGTGGGATTTTTTTTCCATTCCAACCCAAACCCAAATTCCAGGATTTTTTTTTGTCACCCAATCCCAGTTTTGCTGTGAGATGCTCTGCTCCAGCAGCAGCACAGCTGGGGACACTGAAACCCTTCCTGCCCTGAGCCTGAATTCTCACTTTTATTTTCTTTTATTTTTTTTCCCCACTGAAAGCCACACTTTTCACAAAGGGAGGGAAAAAAAGGTGATCAACTGCCCAGTTGGATTTGTCAAAATGAGCAGGTTTTGCTTGGGAGGAAAACCTTGGGTTTTACTTAAAGCCACCATAAAGAATTCTTGAACTTGAACCACTCAGAGCACACAGCTCTGCAGCCTGTGGAACACCACACCCTGGTTTTCGCTCCCCTCTGGGCGCCTGCAGTTGTACTCTCAGTTTCAGTTTCCTGATGTTTCTGTGGCATTAATTCATTTGTTTGGCTGATTTTTGTCATAACGAAACAATGCACAAAGCACAAACCAAAATGTTTGCAGTGCTTTGGCAGCAGCACTGGAAACCTGCTGAAATTAAATTTCCAGCCCTTTTCTGGGTGTTTGTCTGAGAACAAGAGCACGCCCTTGGTAGGAAGTGGTGTCAGCCTGGCTTGGGAGCTGCAGTGAAACCTCTAAACGCAGTTTATTGCCCCGTTTTATGAATGATGCTGCAGGAAGCCACTCCTGATAAAGAAAGTGCTGCAAGATAAAGGTCTGCAAGCCACAATGGCTGAAGCCACAACATTGGGGTCACAGCATTGCATGAGAATTTCTGCTTTCACTTGCAGCCTGGCGTGGGGGGGAACACAGTGAATTTTTTTACCCAATTCTGGCGGGTTTTAAACCAAATTCTCTGTGGAATGTTCTCAGTGGGGTCCCAGCCACCAGCTCTGCCCAGCAGATCCTGAAAATGTTTTCAGGTGGGGAATCTGGAGAGGGGCTTGGGATAAAGGGATGGGGGGCAGGACACAGGGAATGGTTTCCCACTGCCAGGGGGCAGGGATGGATGGGAGATTGGGAATTAGGAATTGTTCCCTGGGATGTGGGAAGGGATTGGATGGAATTCCCAGAGCAGCTGTGGCTGCCCTGGATCCCTGGAATGGCCAAGGCCAGGCTGGATAAGTGAAGGAACAGCCTGGGACAGTGGGAGGTGTCCCTGCCATGGAACAGGATGACACTCAAGATCCCTCCCAATCCAAATAATTCTGGCATTCCATGGAATTGCAGGTAGAAAAATGCTGATGAATAAGAGGAGGAACAGGGAGGGGACCCTTGGTCTGTGTCCCTGTCCCTGGGAACTGGTGAAACCTTTGTGCTCTGCCAGGGCTCAGTCCTTCCCTGCCACCCTAAAAATCATCATTTCCCCTCTCAGCTGGCTCTGGTTTCATTTCCCCTCTCACCTGGCTGCGTTTTGCTGCCTCTGCTGGGCTATCCTGGGTTACAAGCTGTGTTTGGGCTGTGTGGCTGGCAGTGTTGGTTTGTATTGCTGCATTTTCCCTTTATTTTTATTTTTCCCTAATAAGGACCTGTTATTCCTGCTCCCATATCTTTGCCCGAGAGCCCCTTAATTTCAATATTATAATAATTTGGGGGGAGGGGGTTTACGTTTTCCATTTCAGGGGAGGCTCCTGCCTTCCCTAGCAGAACCTGTCTGCTCAAACCAGGCCAGGGGGTTTCTGTGCACTCACCTTCCAGAACAGGGAGAGGTTCTGGTGCCCCGAGTCCAGCTCCTGCTGCCGGTACCAGACATCCAGGGTTCCTGTTGGCACTGCAGGGAAGGAAAAGCAGAGCAGTGGCATGGCTGGGGTTTGGAGCCAGCAAATGAGGAGGCAAAACCCCTGAGAAAATTCAGATTTACTCATTGAAATGCCCCTGGAATGCTGCAGGGTGTGATAACCCAGGTTTGCTGTTGTTTGGCTGCTTGGAGGGTGGGAGCACGAGGAGAAGAAGCCATAAAGCCAAGGAGAGGAGTTTGGACGTGCTGGTGGCTTTGTCCTGACCTCAGTAATCTGGATGGCTCCCAAGGGAAGCCACACATCAAAGCACAGCATTAGCTCCTGTCTTTGCATAAATTTGAGCCCTCTGAAGGTCCTTGGGCTTGGCTCCATCAATCCTGGAACAACAGGCAGCCTGGGATGAGGGGATGTGTGGGATTTTCCTGCCTCATAAATGCCTTTAACAGCTTCTCTGAGGCAGCTTAAAGCTCTGTTCCTTCCACAATCCTGACTGGAAACTCTTGGTGTTTTGAACAACCCTCCCAAAGTGACATCAAAGGAAGATCTGGCTGGTGGATGAGCTCCCAAAATCCAGCATCAGGGACGGAGGGGCCAGGAAAGCTGGGGCACAGAGGATGGCACAGCTTTGCTCCTCAGGGACCCCGAGCAGCAAACTCATCAATTCCAGTGCCAGTCATGAACAGCTGGAGCAGGGGCAGCTGAGGGGACCCAGCACAGCCACAAACCCCTCCAGGTCAGCACAGTGGGAGCAGCTTGTCCTGGAGTGACTGCCACAGGAACAAGAACAGCAGCAGAAATAAACCCAGGGCACTGACTGCCAGCTCAGAGCAGAAAAATCCAAATCTGGGATTGCATCTGCTGCCCTCCAGCCCGGGGTTGAACTCCTGTGAACCACACGAACGAGGGTTTTGGCAGCTGGCACAAGAAGGAGCAGGAACAGGAATTTCTCCTTGGAAAGGTTTGATTTTGGGTGTGCAAGGAGACAGCTTGTGGAGAAGCTCAGCTCCTGCAGCGCAGGGCAGCGAGGATGCACCCAGAGCTGCTTGTCTGCAGCCTCCCCTTGCTCTGAGGGCACAAAATCAGCTGAAAACCCCAGGGCAGGGTGGGGGTGATGGCCACAAGCTCAGGGTGCAACGAAAAGGGGAGAAAACTGTTGAGAGGAAGGTGGGGGAGGCAGGGAAAAGTTCACACCTCCCAAATCAATCAATGCCTCTTACAGAAACTGCTGCTGTCACGGGGAAATGGGTGACTCAGAACAGCACCAGCCCCAGTAATTCACAAAAAAGAGCAGCCAAAGCCAAGCAGGAGAGCACAGAATGACAGGGGTTGCATGGCACCTTAAAGAGCATCTCATTCCAGCCCCCAAAATCCTTCTCAGGGAGATCTGGGAATTCCTGTTTTGGAAGATCTTCACTGTTTGCTCATTAAAAACACAATTTTCTTACAGAAACTCCTCCCTCTTGGCTTGGGGGCTGGACCTGGAGCTCGCCCCGAGCAGCCCAGCAGCAGTTTGGCCCCTGAGCTGGGCTTTGCTGCGGGAGCAGAGCCCAGAGCTGGGTTCAGGGCCGTTCTTTACCTGCTGCCGGGGTGCTGCCCTGGCTGCTGCTCCAGTCACTCCACAGCCCTCGGCCCGGCAGCATCCTGCAGCTCAGCTGGAACTCGTGGGCTGTGTCGGGCTCCAGCCCCTGCAGGTGATGCTGCTCCCTGCTGGAGCCCTCCACCTTCAGTGGGGATGGAGAAATTGGTGTTAAACTCCCGAGGAAACGAGGGCTGCAGGCAGCGAGGGGCTGAGTCACAAATTCAGACAGATTTAAAATCAGCACAGGAGCCCTGAGCTGAGGCAGCCTCAGGAACTCAAGGGATGATGCAAGGGAATCATCAGGCCTGAAAAATCCCTCATCTGAAAAACCCCTCATTTCTTACGTGCCCATACCAAAATCTGTGTTTGGGTGACGTGCTCAGCTCCCAGCAAAGCGTTCTTTTTGCCACTTGCAGTGAAAACTTCACGGAATCATGGAATGTTTGGGTTCGGAGGGAACTTAAATCCCACCCAGTTCCACCCCTGCCCTGGCAGGGACACCTCCCACTGTCCCAGGAGCTCCAGCCCCAGTGTCCAGCCTGGCCTTGGGCACTGCCAGGGATCCAGGGGCAGCCACAGCTGCTCTGGCAATTCCATCCCAGGACCTCCTCAGGGAACAATTCCCAATCTAAATCTACCAATTTTCAGCTTCCAGCCATTCCCTGTGTGCTGTCCCTCCATCCTTGTCCCCAGTCCCTCTGCAGCTCTCCTGGAGCCCCTCCAGGCCCTGCCAGGGGCTCTGAGCTCTCCCCAGAGCTCTTCCCTGCCCGGCAGCTCCACAATTCCCTGAATCCCAGGGGATTACCGTGCTCCAGCCGTGCCTGCCGAGGGGCCGGTACCTCAGCCTGCAGTGCTGTGCTTGTGCCCCGTGGTGCCACAGAACGGTGCAGCTGGTGCCAGAGGAGTCATCAAATTCCACCGAAAAGTCGGGAGGGTGTGGCTTCACTGGCACCCAAACAGAGAAACAAACGGGGTTCAGAGAGGCAGCACAGCGTTAGGTGGAAAATAAGGTTATTGCTTTGGGCTGGATGGGTGATTTTCCCAAGAGATTTAATATTTTTCCAAGAGATCCTGAGTATTTTCAGGTCTCCCCAAGGCCTGGGGCTGACGGAGAGGGGGGCAGTGGTGCCTCACCTATGTCTACCAGCATGAAGGTGAGTGGCTGGGAAGAGGCATTTCCTAACGGGTTGGAGGCAGAAACCACCACAGTGTAGTTGGAGTCAAAATCCAGCTTGCTCAGAGCCCCGGAGCCCAAAACCTGGCTGGGAGTTTCTTCTGGAAAGGAAAAGACATCGGTCCCGTTGGAGAGCCTGGAGCAGGAGGAAAGGGTCGGTTGGATTTTCTGAGGAAGAAAGGTGAGCCTGGGGGTGTGGGGTGTTCTGGTTTAGGGATCACCCCGGGCCATGGGGACAGGGACAATCCTAGGGTTCCCTGGTTTAGGGATCACCCCGGCCATGGGGACAGGGACAATCCTGGGGTGTGGGGTGTCCTGGTTTAGGGATCACCCCAGGCATGGGGACAGGGTCAGCCCTGGGGTTCCTGGTTTAGGGATCACCCCGGGCCACGGGGACAGGGTCAGCCCTGGGGGTGTGGGGACAGGGTTCCCTTTCCAAAGGGATGGATTGGCACAGCCTCTTCACCGAACCCCGAGGGAGCTGCAGGGCATGATGAGAAAGCTGCTGCAGGGGGTAATTAGGCACTAATTGCATTTCCACCCCGCACTTACTCTATCCCATAGGCAGTGTGCAGGTAGGTGAGCCTGCCTTTGTGCCAGGTGCAGGTGGGGTGTCCCTGTGTCCCCTTCTGGATACAGGACACGTTCCTGGGCTCGTCTGGAGGATCTGAAACAGAAATTCCTGTCAGTCCCAACATCCATGCCCCTTCAGGGTCCTTCAGGCCAAGGTCTCCAGCCAGCCTGGCTCTCCCCAGGGATGTGGTAGGAGACATTGGAGGGGATGCTGGGCAGGGAGGGAGTTGTTTGCTCTGGGCAGTTTTGTTGAGCTTCTCTCCCTTCAGGAATAACAGAGCTGCACAATTCCAGCCAGGAATATTCCCAGTGGGAAGAGCCAGCAGCAGCCCTGGACAAAGCCACCCCCTGGCAGTGCCTAGCAGGCTTCCCTCTCCCGCAGGAGAGCTGTAAGAAGCAATTAAGGACTTCAGGCAGTAATTAAGAAGGGGTTTTCCTCACTCCCACACTGGATGTCGATTCCGCAGACGAGTTTTCTCCTGTCCCCACAGATGCACTTGCAGGTGAAGTTGTGCCTGCCGTGGGCAGTGACCAGGAAGGTTTTGCTGACCCAGCCCCCCTGGGCTCGGATTTGCTCGGAGCTGTTGAGGAAAATCGCTGCCCAGCACCAGCCCCGCGGGGCTGCCAGCCGGCAGGACAGGGTGACGTTGGTGCCACCGGGGATGGCGCAGCAGGGGCTGGCTGTCACATTGCCCTTGTCACAGACCTCGGTGGCACCGCGGGCGGCTCCGCTGGCACCCGCCGGCCCCTTCCTGCAGGGTCCTGCAAGGGAAGGGAAAGCAGCCTCAGCAGGACGGGCTGGGCTCCAGCTGGAGCCTCCCGCTGTTTGGTGGAGAAATTCCGGGCTCTGCCAGGAACTCGTGGGACCTGTCTGGGATCAGCAGCCACGGGGTCGCTCCCAGCCCCAAAAACCCAGACAGCCCCAGGTAAAAACTGCCAGAACCCCTGGACACTGGGGCTGGAGCACCTGGGACAGTGGGAGGTGTCCCTGCCAGGGCAGGCTGGGCTTTAAGGTCTTTCCATCCCAAACCCAAATTCTGTGATTTTGTGATTTTTTTTCCTGTTCATGAGCTCTGCCTGTCCCGGTGCCTTTTCTCACAAAGCCAACGGCTCCAACTGGAACTGAAATCCAAACAAACTCCCTGCATCAATTATTAACCCAGAAATGAAAATGTTCACTGGCTCTTGGGGTAGAAGCTGGAAAAAACCCACCCTAATTAGGCTGAGTGCTTCATCAGAGAGATATAATTGCTGTGTAGGAAGAAGCCTCTCTTACCTGCTGTGAGGTGCAGCACCAGCCAAAGTGCTGAGGGCACGATCCGTGGAAATGGCATTTTGGTGCCTGGAGAGAGAGGAATTCCTGTTACCAGCTCCGAAAAATGGGAATATTATGTACAGATCTTTGTGGGTTTTCTACCTTTTTTCTGCTTTACTACTTTCTACTTTACTGTAATGTAGAAAAAAGAATTTTTTCAGAAAATCCCAAATGCTCAGTCTGTGAGACCTTTCCCATGAACATTCCCTGGTTTTGTTGGGATCCAGAGGCTGTTGTTCAGCCTTGCAGCGGAGCCCCAGCTCAGCCAGGACCTCCTCGTGCGGTGCCTTCTGTAGGTGACTCGTAAGTGCCAGGATGAGCAATCTCAGCAGCTTCTTCAGGGAAATGCTCTGCCTTCCACTAAGCCTGGGGGCTGCGTCGACAGCCTGCAAACAGCTGCTGCTGACAGCGAAGTGCCCGAAACACCCGAGAAAAAACCAGCCTCAAAACCAGCTTAAAATCCAACCTCAAAACCAGACTAAAATCCATCCTAAAATCCAGCCTGAAATCCAGCCTCAAAACCAGTCTAAAACTCAGCCTAAAATCCAGCTTAAAATTCAGCCTCAAAACCAGACTATAATCCAGTTTAAAATCCAGCCTAAAACCCAGTTTAAAATCCAGCCTTAAAACCCAGTTTAAAATCCAGCCTCCAAATCCAGCCTCACTTTGAAGCCTTCGGTCAGAGGACGTGAGCTGTGACGGGAATAAAGGATGAGAAACTGCTGAGGAGCAACGCCAGCTCAGAGCTAAGAAAAAGGGAAATTAATGGGAAAGTCGGGGGGAATTAATGGGGGGAAATTAATGGGAACCCCCCCAGGTGGCAGAGCAGGGAGGGAATCAGCAGTGCTGGTTGGAGGGCACTGAAATACCCCGGGGGCACGGTACTGGAATACCCCGGGGGCAGGCACAAATGGGAACCCCCCTAGGTGGCAGAGCAGGGAGGGAATCGGCAGTGCTGGTTGGAGGGCACTGAAATACCCCGGGGGCAGGGCACTGAAACCCACAGGAGCTGTCTGGGGGCTGTGGGTGCTCCTACCCCCCAAACCCCATCAGAGCGGCCCCTGCTGTGCCTCAGGCACTCCGTCTGTCCCTGCACTCTGAAGGGAGAGCAGCTGTGGAGCACCAGAGCCCAGAGCTCCTTCCAGCCCCGCTTGTCCCCCCAAAACCTCTCTTGTGCTTTCCAAGAACTGACGGGAGCAGCAGAGGGGCAGCGGAGGAAAGAGGAACGTCTCGGTCATTTCGGGCAGAAAAACCCCATTTTTGTGCCCCGAATCTCACACGTCCCCCATTAGTGACGCTGGCCGGGTTTTTGGGGAAGCTCTGTGGGGACAGTGGCCCCCGGGTCACCCAAACCTCGGGGCTGTCCCACGCCAGGCTGGGGCTGGTCCCAGCCCTGCCGGGAGCGGGGATGGAGTCGGGGCAGCGGAGGAAAGAGGAACGTCTCGGTCATTTCGGACAGAAAAACCCCATTTTTGTGCCCCGAATCTCACACGTCCCCCGTTAGTGACGCTGGCCGGGTTTTTGGGGAAGCTCTGTGGGGACAGTGGCACCCCGGTCACACCTCGGGGCTGTCCCACGCCAGGCTGGGGCTGGTCCCAGCCCTGCCGGGAGCGGGGATGGAGTCGGAGCTGGGGGACACCGGGAGGGGACAGCGCTGCTCGGGAGGGGCCTGGGGCACTGCTGTCCCTGGGCTGCTCCGTCCCAGCCCTCAGGGACACCCGGGACAGTGAGAATTCCTGGGCAGGAACATCGCCGGGAAACACCCAGCCCGGGGCAGGAACGGCCGGGACGGGAAAATCCCGGGGCAGCAGCATCCCAAAGCAAATCCCAGGTAAGGAACATCCCAGGGCAGAGCAAATCCCAGGTAAGGAAAATCCTGGGACAAGAGCATCTCACAGCAGAGAAAATTCCAAGTTAGAAGCATCCCAGGGCAGGAGAATCCCAGAGCAAAGAAAACCCTGGGGCAAAGAAAATCCCACTACAGGAACATTCCAGGGCAGGAATATCCCAGGGCAGGAGAATCCCAAATCTTTGAACATCCCAGGACATCCCGGCACCCCCCCGTGCCCGGCCGGGGTTACCGACCCCGATCCCCCGGCCCGGGGGGAAAGGAAGGGAAAAGAAAAGAAAGAGGGAAAAGGGAAGAGGAGAGGAGATAAAAAGTAGAATTTCTGCTCAGAGCGAGGGGCTCATCCACAGGCACAGCCACTCTCCTTTTAGTTTCTCTGCAAGATGATTTTTGCTTTCTCTCGTTTATCCAGCACTCCCACAACCCACTCCACATTTAACAGAGTTTTAAAAGAATTAATATCTTGCTATTGCTGTTCCTTCTCCTTTCAGGCCACCAGCGACATAAGCTCAGTTTTCCTGCCTGGTTGTAGGGCAGAGCAAATCCCGGGTAAGGAACATCCTGGGGCAAGAGCATCTCACAGCAGAGAAAATTCCAAGTTAGAAGCATCCCAGGGCAGGAGAATCCCAGAGCAAAGAAAACCCTGGGGCAAAGAAAATCCCACTACAGGAACATTCCAGGGCAGGAATATCCCAGGGCAGGAGAATCCCAAATCTTTGAACATCCCAGGACATCCCGGCACCCCCCCGTGCCCGGCCGGGGTTACCGACCCCGATCCCCCGGCCCGGGGGGAAAGGAAGGGAAAAGAAAAGAAAGGGGAAAAGGGAAGAGGAGAGGAGAAAAAAAGTAGAATTTTTGCTCAGAGCAGGGGGCTCGTCCACAGGCACAGCCACTCTCATTTTAGCTTCTCTGCAAGATGATTTTTGCTTTCTCTCGTTTATCCAGCACTCCCACAACCCACTCCACATTTAACAGAGTTTTAAAAGAATTAATATCTTGCTATTGCTGTTCCTTCTCCTTTCAGGCCACCAGCGACATAAGCTCAGTTTTCCTGCCTGGTTGTGCTCAGCTTTTCTCCCCTCAGTGTGTCAGGGCAGCTCTAGCAAGGAGGGAACACAACACGTGCAGCCTCCAGAATCCCGAATTTTCCCTTTGAGCCTCCAGCTGCTTCTCCTCCCCCCAGAAACCAGGAGCAACATTTGGGCTCCTTTCCAGAGCTGCTGATAATTATCATTAATTTGCCGGGGAATGAGCGGGGGAGTTAATACCCCCCAAAACCCCGAATGCCAAAAGCTCCTTTTTACCTCTCGTTCCCCCTCTGTCTCCATGGGTTCCTGCGGCACCTCCCGTGTCCCAGCCCTGCCGGCCGGGCCGGGCTCGGCGGTGCCGCCGCTCCCGGGGCTGCTCGGGCCGCCCTGGGGGAAGATGCCGATGGATGGCAGGGGACCGGCTTCGTGTTCTAGCGGCAGCAGGAGGAAATCGCCTCCAGGCCACCGCTTGCTTCCTTTTCGCGTCTATTTTTTTCTTATTTCCTTCTCCTTTTAAAAAAGTTTTTTTTTTTTTTAATTATTTCCTTTCCTTTATATGTTTTTTTCCACTTTTCTTTTTTCCCTTTATCTTATCTTCTTTCATTTTTTTCTTTGCCTTTGTCTTGTTTTCATTTTTCTTCTTTCTTTTTCTATTCCTTTTTCTTTCTTTTTATTTTTCTCCTTTTTCTTTGTCCTTTTTCTTTTCCTTTGTTACCCGTTTTCCTTTTTCCCCTTTTTTCCTTTTTTCTCTCCCCCTTTTTATATTTTTAATATTTTAAAATATTTTTAAGTCTTTTCTATATTTTTATCCTTTTTATCTTTATCTTTTTAATCTTTTTCGTCTTATAATAATCTTTTTCTTAATAATATTTTTTGTATTTTTCCCCTTCTTTTTTATATTTTTTCGTATTTTTCCCTTTATTTTTTATATTTTTAAAAATCTTTTTCCCTTTCTTTTTTATCTTTTTAATATCTTTCCCCCTATCTTTTTCCTCCCCTTTCCTTTCCTGCTTTCCCCTCTAGCACAATTTTAAGCCCCGAACTCTGCTTTTCCCTGCGATTCCTTCACTGACTCCTGCTGGCCGCAGAGCTCAGGAAAACCGGGAAGGCGCCGGTGGCACGGAGGGGCACGGGGCAAACCTCGCCCTCCCTCGCTGCGGTGTCCCCGATCTCTCGGCAGGACAGGCAGAGCAGGGGGTGCCGGTGCCGGGTCTGGGGACACGGCCAGGGGCTGTTTTAAGCCCCGAACTCTGCTTTTCCCTGCGATTCCTTCACTGACTCCTGCTGGCCGCAGAGCTCAGGAAAACCGGGAAGGCGCCGGAGGCACGGAGGGGCACGGGGCAAACCTCGCCCTCCCTCGCTGCGGTGTCCCCGATCTCTCGGGGGGCCGGGTCTGGGGACAGCGGGGCCGGGGACACGGCCAGGGGCTCCCGGTGTCCCCCCGGGCTCCAGGAGCAGCGAGCACAGCCCGGGATGTGCAGGAGGGCAGGGGAGGGACAGAATCCCCAATTCCGGAATGGTTTGGGGTGGAAAGGACCTCAAAGCCCTCCCAGTGCCACCCTGCCATGGCAGGGACACCTCCCACTGTCCCAGGCTGCTCCAAACCCATCCAGCCTGGCCTTGGCCACTGCCAGGGATCCAGGGGCAGCCACAGCTGCTCTGGCAATTCCAGCCCAGCCCCTGCCCATCCTGCCCAGGGAACAATTTCCAATTCCCAATATCCCATCTAAATCTGCCAATTTTCAGCTTCCAGCCATTCCCTGTGTGCTGTCCCTCCATCCTTGTCCCCAGTCCCTCTGCAGCTCTCCTGGAGCCCCTCCAGGCCCTGCCAGGGGCTCTGAGCTCTCCCTGGATCCTTCTCCTGTCCAGGGGAGCCCCCCCAGCTCTCCCAGCCTGGCTCCAGAGGGGCTCCAGCCCTGCAGCAGCTCCAGCAGCTCCATAACTTTCTCCTGGTGTCCCTCTCTGCTTCCCTGGACTCCGGCCCGTGGAGCTGAGCCCGGCAGAGCTGCCCCAGCTGCAGCAGCAGAGCCATCCCTCCTGTGGGTGGCTGCTTTGGGGTCCCCTCAGCAGTGGCTCGGTGTTTCCCATCCCTTTGTGACTGTGCGGTCCCCAGCAGGATGGAATGAGTGACTCAGCCTGGAAAATCCCATTGCTGCCAGCCCAGCCCTGCCAGCCCAGCTGAGGGAGGGCCCAGGGAGGGTTTGGGTCCTGCAGTGCTGCTCTGGAGATCCAGTGGTGCACAAACCCCACAGCTGTATCCTGCAGAGGCTCAGGATGGGCTTGTCTCTGCTCCTGGGCAGGATTCCCTCCTCTCTGCCGAGGGAAGGCTTGGCTGGGTCGGGGAGCAGCAATCCCAGTCCATTCACTCACCTCTGTCACTCACTGGGTGTTCTCTGTGTGCAGCTCTGCTCCTTCACCCCAGCCCTGCTCCCAGGGCTCTCCCGGTGCCATCCTCCTGGGATTTGCCCTGGGAAGGTGGCACTGGGGCTGGCGCTGCTGGGGAGCCTGGTGAGACCCGAGCACAGCCTCCCCTCTCACATCCTGTGCTCTGAAACACCAGCCTGCTTTCGGTCTGTGCCACTGAGCTCAGCCCGGCAGGACTGCTCACCCTCCTCCCCAGCCCCACAGAGGCTCAGGGGTGGGTCAGGCTCCCCCACATCCCATCATTTTCAAGGATTATCCCCAGTTTTATCACGAGGGCGCCCCAGCTGCTGCTGGCTTTGCCCTGGCACGTTTTCAGGAGGGTTCTGCTGAGCCAGGCACTTCTCTGCAGCTTTGCAGAGCCCTGGTCACAATCTGGGCTTTGATCTCTGCTCTGTGTGCTCAGAAATCCCCCAAGGCCTGGGGTGTTACTGAGCTCTGTGACACCTCCCAGCCTGCAATCCAGTTTTAGCCCCTGCAGTGCCTCTATCTGCCACCCCATCTCTCCTGGGGCAGGCCTTCCAGCACGGGGCTGGGGCTGCACACGGGAGCCAGACCCAGCAGCAGGGGCTGCTCAGGGCAGCTTTCCATCTTCTCCTGGTCCTGCTGCTCTTCCCGAAGGGTTTGAGGGGCTTTGGTCCTGAGGCTTTGCCAGCTGCACCAACCCAGGCTCTGTAGATGAAGGTCACGCCACAGTTGGTGACTAAGCTGAGCCTAAACCCAGCTCTGTGTGCAAACCTCAAACAGAATGAATTCCACGCCCTCCTGCATGGCAGTGGCACCAAGGGGTTAAAACTGCAGCTCAGATGCACGTTTAATACACCATTTATTGCGTGTTGAATTTATTTATTGTTTCTTCAGTCTCGTTTCAGGTTGAATCATTTCTGAGCTGGCTTTTTGAAGAGGTGAACAAGTCCCACGGGGAGCCTGGCTGATCTCTGGGGTGGGGGGATCTCCTTGCACCTCGGGCTCCCCCTGCTCTGCAGGGCTGGAGTCAGCAGGAGTGGGTGGCTCTCTCTGTTCTCCCACCCCCTGAACTGCCTGCCCCCCTTCCTTGTTTCTTTTCACTTGTTCCCTCCTTCCCTTTATATGAAAAGACCTTTTTTTGTTATCGCTTTGGTGGTGATGGGACAGCACCGTGGTGCATCTCTGTGGGTCCTGCAAATCGTGGAATTCATCCCTGAGCTGATAAACAAGTGGGAATCTCTGCCACTGGATCCGACTGCCAACGGTAAAACCAAGCTTAAAACAGGGGATAGAAAATCCTGATACCAAAAATGAGGGGGTTTGTAATATTGGAAACTCTTGGGAATGAAGTGCTCCAAACTCTTGGGAATGAAGTGCTCCAAACTCTTGGGAATGAAGTGCTCCAAACTCTTGGGAATGAAGTGCTCCAAACCCTTAAGGAGAGGATGATGCTGAGCAGTGATTGATGATATTTCATCCTGCAGGAATCTCCTGCTTGGCATCCCAGGAATCCAAGCTTTATGGGTTTTTTGCTCCTGCCAGTGTGAGGTAAGGTTAAAACTGGGATTTGCTGGCCCAAGACTCCCAGGCAGCCCCAAGACCCTGCAGCGGAGTAAGACAGCAATATTCCAGCTGGGAGTTTTGCTCTGGCTCTCCCTTCGGCAGTCCCGGCGCTGACACCGCCTTGGTCGCGGCTCCAGGGCTTTATCCCCAGTCCCAGCTGCTCCCAGAGCAGCCCTGCCACGCTCTGAGGGCGGCAGGGTCCCCGTTGGTGGCTCTCAGGCAGGACAGCAGCTCCTCGGGGACCAGCATCTGCTCGGGGCCGTCGCCGGGCGGCTCCCAGCGCTGCTCCGGGCCGGGTCCGGGTCCCGCCCGCCCCGGGAATTCCAGGCTGCTGTTGAGCACCAGGTTGATCTTGTCCAGCAGGCACAGCTGGGGTGTCCCTCCCTGCTGCTCCCACAGCTGGGGGACGGGGCTGCTGTAGTCCAGGCAGGACATCCCCGCCTCTGCCGCGGGTGGCTGCGCCTGCGGGATCCCAGCAGCGACGTACCCCAAAGCGTTCCCGACGGAGAGCTGCGGCTTGTAGGCACCCAGCTGCCCTGGGGACACGCTGCTGGGGGCCACCACGGCCCCTGGGACCTCCCTGGGCTCGGGCACCTCCGTGTCCACGCTCTGGGGCCGCTCCTGCGCCGGCACCTCCTGGACATCCGTGACCGCGGGGTCAGCGGGGGCCAGGAAGGGCTCCTGGAGGCTGGAGCTGGGGAAATCCGCCTTGTCCTGGGGAAAAAAGGGGGCTCAGGCAGCAGGGGGTGGTAACAGGAGAGCTGTCATTAGGGCTTGGGCAGCCTGGGCCCAGGCAGGGAATGGGAACAGCTCTGAGGTCCCTCCCGGCCCCGGGCAGCTGTGGCCATGGAATACAGAAAATGGGGAATTCAGGTTCCATGGAATACAGAAAATGGGGAATTCAGGTTAAATGGAATACAGAAAATGGGGAATTCAGGTTTAGCAGAATACAGAAAATGTGGAATTCAGATTGAACAGAATACAGAAAATGGGGAATTCAGGTTAAATGGAATACAGAAAATGTGGAATTCAGGTATAATGGAGTATAGGAAATGTGGAATTCGGGTTGAACAGAATACAGAAAATGTGGAATTCGGGTTGAACGGAATACAGAAAATGTGGAATTCAGGTTTAGCAGAGTACAGAAAATGTGGAATTCAGGTTAAATGGAATACAGAAAATGGGGAATTCAGGTTTAAAGGCCCCAGTGAATCCAGGCTCCCACACCCCTGGGAAATGCTTCCTGAGCAGTCCCAGTACCTCAGAACTGGAACTCTCCCCATCCCTGTTCCTCACAGCACTGCCCTCTCCCAGCTAACAGGGAATGTTACCAGAGGAGATGGCCTCCAGTTGTGCCAGGGGAGCTTTAGGTTGGATTTTTAGGGAAAATTTCTCTGTGGAAAGGGCTGTCCAGCCCTGGCACAGGGTGGAGTCCCCATCCCTGCAGGGATTTAAAATCCCTGTGGATGTGGCACTTGGGGACACGGGGCAGTGCTGGGGGATGGTGGGACTGGATGTTCCCAGAGGGATTTCCCAACCTGGATCATTCTGCAAAGCCAAGCTTTAATCTGAGGGGAAGCAAAGCCAGGAGATAACTCTGCCCTCACCTGGAGTGACTTCACCACGCTGCTGTTCTCCATGCGGGGAAAGTCCTCAAAGAGCCACTTGGGCAGCAGGGACACAAGGGTGGCCTTTACCCTTCAAAAGGCAAAAACAAACCCCAAATGTTACTCCAAGGGGTTACTCAGATATTCCTCATGCAGGATGAAACTGCCTGGGTAGGCAGGACGCATGAAGAACACCCAGCCTTGGAGAGGGGCTTGGAAACTCTGGGTTCCCCATTCTTTAATTTCACCAGTTTCATGTTTATTTGACTTTTTCTGTTGGTCTCTGCCTTACTGCAGAGCACCAAAAAGTCCTTTCACACAACAGCCTGATAAATGTGTGGCATTGCCCTCGGGCTGAGGTGAAAAGGGCTCTGTCGTTGATTTTAAAACGTCCTAGAAGAAATTTTATATTTCTTCTACGTACAAAAAAAAAAAAAAGAATTGGAAATAAGGAAAGAAGATATGGAGGAGAAAGGAATACCTTTTCCTGACTGATTTTTTAAACATCACAATTGCAAAGAGAACGGATGATCCGAGCACGCTGAGGCTCAGTCCCAGGAGAACTCGGATGTCATCATCTGCAGGAGGATGGAGAGGGAGGAGGTCACGGCCCGGTGCTGCAGGCACTCACCATTTCCTGCCCCAGCTCAGAAGTGCTGATGTGAGTGCCTCAGCCCGGGCTGGTTTTGCTTTTGGTTTAAGAGCTGCACGGATGGTGACCTTTAGCAGAGGATGTGCACGCAGAGCACCCCCGAGTGCTGGAAGTGCTGAAACATCCCTGGTTCCGGCTGCAGGGTGGGATCAGCCCCTTGCTTAGGTTAATTTGATAATTCCCTGGTTCTGGCCCTCCCCCTTGGGCTGGGCATTGTATTTTAACCTCGGTAGGAAGCAGAACTCAAACCCACCCTGCATTCTGTGGGTGCTGCTCACCCCTGAGAGCACACAGCCTTCCCTGCACGTGGGGAAAACCTCCTTTAGCAGCTCTGACCTGCCCAAAGCACCTGGGAGCTCCCAGTTCCCGCTGGGTTAAAGCTGGAGAAAGCCTGGCTTAGCAAGGCAGAGCTGCCCTCCTTACCCTGGGACGTCGGGCTGTGGGCGCTGCCCAGGAGCGGCTCCTCTGCAGGGGCTGCAACAGAGAGGGGGAATGTCTGTGCTGCTTTGCAGGGCTCTGGGCACACAGAACCCGCCCTGGCTCTGTCTTTTCAGGAAAATCAGCAATGGTGTAACGAGAACAATTAGGGTCCCTGAAGTCATGAGTAACTGCAGCTCTGTGGGGTCACACAGTGACCCCACAATTAAATGAGGGGTTGATCAGCTCCTGTCCCCACCCACAGAACCTCTTCCCTGCACATCCCTCCCGCTCCTCAGCACCCAAAACAAGGCTTTAGTCCCCCTGGGGAGATCCATCAGTTTTCAGCAGCATTCCCAGGCTGTTTAACAGCTTTCCCAGAGAAGTTGTGGGTCCCTGGCAGTGCCAGGCTGGACACTGGGATGATGGGAGGTGTCCCTGCCAGGGCAGGGCTGGCACTGGGTGGGCGCTGAGGTCCTTCCACCCCAAACCACTCTGGGATTCCGTGATTCCCAAAGTGCCTGCACCCCTTGGGAATGAATTTCCTGATTATTTCCATGCAGAGAGGGGAGGTCTGCAGCTGAGGGCCCTGCCATGGCAAGGAGCCTCTTTGTGCTGACATGAGCACCAGCTCCTGGGCTCACAGACCCTGCTCTGGGGGGCTCAGACCCTGCTCTGGGGGGCCCAGACCCTGCTCTGGTGTCACAGACCCTGCTCTGGGTCTCAGACCCTGCCCTGGGGGGCTCAGACCCTGCTCTGGGGCTCAGACCCTGCCCTGGGGGGCTCAGACCCTGCTCTGGGGGCTCAGACCCTGCCCTGGGGCTCAGACCCTGCCCTGGGGGCTCAGACCCTGCCCTGGGGCTCAGACCCTGCCCTGGGGGGCTCAGACCCTGCCCTGGGGTCACAGCCTGGCCTCGCCCTCAGCCCCTGCCCAGCTCTGGAGGACACCCAAAGCCACGCCGGTGATGAAGAGGAGTTTTCCTGCCCTGAACCCTTCCCAGACTGAGGCTGCCTGGCCCAGCTGCAGGTGTCCCTTCCAAGGCGCTCCGTGGTTCCCACCCAAGGTAGGAAGGGCAGGCAAAAAGCTGTGTTTTGCGCTGCAGGTGTCCCTTCCAAGGCGCTCCGTGGTTCCCACCCAAGGTAGGAAGGGCAGGCTGGCTCTGCTCTCTGCAAAAGCTGTGTTTTGCTTTTCTATTTTCCTTTTTTTTTTTTTTTTTTTAATATCTGCTGTATTTTGGCTTATCTGTAACATCTTATTGTGAGTTCTGCATATGCAACCTCACTTTTCTGCCATGGAAAGGGACAACGACTCCATTGAAGGAAAATGAGGTTCTTGGGTGTTCTGGGTCTGTGCAGGGAGCAAAGACCAGCTAGAGATGGGTTTTACATAAATACATCGATTAAATGTATTAAATACATCGATTCAATGTATTAAATACATCGATTCAATGTATTAAATTTGGGGTTTACACAAATACATTGATTAAATGTATTAAATTAGGGTTTTACACAAATACATTGAATTAATGTATTAAATACATTGATTCAATGTATTAAATTAGGGTTTTACACAAATACATTGATTAAATGTATTAAATACATTGATTAAATGTATTAACACATTGACTAAGTGTATGAAATGAGGGTTTGACACAAACACATTGACTAAGTGTATGACATGAGGGTTTGACACAAACACATTGACTAAGTCTATGACATGAGGGTTTGACACAAACACATTGACTAAGTGTATGACATGAGGGTTTGACACAAGCACATCGAGGAGCGCGGCGTTCCCGCGGGCTCACCTGTGCCGGGCCGGGGCGCGCTGCTCCCGCCGGGGTACACCGCGAACAGCCGCACGCTCGGGAGCGCCGCTGGCCCTGCGGGACGGGACGGCTCAGCTCGGGGTGGCACTGTGCCCGGCCCCGGGCTGCCGCTGGCAGCAGCCCCTGGGCGCCTGGGCTCCTTCCCGGCCCGCCAGCTCATTTTACATTCATTTTCTTTCCCTCCCCATCCCCTCCCTCCCCTGTGATCTTCACCCAGAGATCCCAATCCCACTGTGCGCCCTCAAATCTGCTACTGCTGCCCTCCTCCTCCTCCTTCCCTGAGGGCTCTTCATGGCCCCACTCCCCAAAAACAGGTGGGCAGGGGCTCGCACTCAAATGAAGGTGTCTTATAGTCTGATTTGGATTGATAATCTGATTTGGATTGATAGTCTGATTTGGATTGATAATCTAGTTGGGATTGATAGCCTGACTTGGATTTATAATCTAATTGGGATTTATAGTCTGGTTTGGATTTATAATCTAATTGGGATTGATAGTCTGATTTGGATTTATAATCTAATTGGGATTGATAGTCTGGTTTGGATTTATAGTCTAATTCTGCTTTATAGTCTGATTTGGACTGATAATCTAATTGGGATTTATAGTCTGATTTGGATTTATAATCTAGTTGGGATTGATAGTCTGGTTTGGATTTATAATCCACTAGGGATTCATATTCTGCTTTGGATTTAAAATCCAGTTGGGACTGATGTTGTGATTAGGGTTGGTGAGGTGCAGAGGAGCTGTGGCAGGCACAAAAGGGGATCCTGTGTCCTACCTTGGATGTAGGCGTGCGTTTCCCCGTGCGGGATTCTCTCCCAGCAGAACTGCTCCTGCTGGCCGTGCTGGGGGCTGGACACCCACTCCAGGATGAACCAGAGCAGGGGGCTCGGGCTGGCCGCGGGGGGCTGCCACTGGACCAGCAGCCTGCTCTGCTGCTCCGCCTTCACCTCCACGGCCTCTGGGGCTGGGAATGCTGGGGAGAGAGAGGCCAAGGGCTGTCAGCCCAAACTCAGCCGTGGGGACTGGGAAGGGTCAGCCCAGGACAAGTGTGGCTTTCCTGGGAGGCTTTGGAAACTGAAGGGTGAACAGGGAGTTATAGAATATGGTGGGTTTATATCTAAGCATACAGAATATGTGTATAAATCTATCTTTAGGTATTGATCTGTATTTCATAGAATTATTCAGGTTGAAAAGGCCTTAAAGATCAAGGCCACCACTGCCCTGTGTCCCCAAGTGCCACATCCATGTGGCTTTTGAATCCCTCCAGGCATGGGGACTCCATCCCTGCCCTGGGCAGCTGTGCCAGGGCTGGAGAACCTTTCCAGGAAGGAACATTCCCAATATCCCCCCTGAGCTGCCTGGCCCAGCCTGGGGCCGTTCCCTCTGCTCCTGTCCCTGTTCCTGGAGCACAGCCCGACCCCGGCTGTCCCCTCCTGGCAGGAGCTGTGCAGAGCCACAAGGGCCCCTGAGCCTCCTTTGCTCCAGGCTCAGCCCCTTCCCAGCTCCCTCAGGGATTCTGCAGCCCCTTCCCAGCTCCCTCAGGGATTCTGCAGCCCCTTCCCAGCTCCCTCAGGGATTCTGCAGCCCCTTCCCAGCTCCCTCAGGGATTCTGCAGCCCCTTCCCAGCTCCCTCAGGGATTCTGCAGCCCCTTCCCAGCTCCCTCAGGGATTCTGCAGCCCCTTCCCAGCTCCCTCAGGGATTCTGCAGCCCCTTCCCAGCTCCCTCAGGGATTCTGCAGCCCCTTCCCAGCCCCGTTCCCTGCCCTGGACACGCTCCAGCCCCTCACTGTCCTTCGTGGGGGACATTCCCTGCCCTGGGGCTGTGCCCACGCTGTGGCTGGCACAGCCCAGGTGCCCCTAGCCAGCTGTGCTGATCCCCAGCCAGATGTGGAGCTCTGTGTCTGCGAATCCCAAGCCCACCCCGTTGGCTCTGTCACGTCCCTGAAGTGCTTCAGCTGTCCCTGCTTACCAGAAACCTGCACGGTTCTGATAAACGTCACAGCTTAGAGAGGTTTTTCCACCTTGTTTCTCTTCAGTTTCTTTTTAGTCATGTGTTTGTCCTCAGCTTGAATGGGACTTTCCCCTCCCATTGCTCATTCAGAGGCGTTTTTCAGAACTAGCAAAGTGTGGTTGTGGGGAAAACCACAGCCCAGGGCACAGGGACATAAGGTGGTCCTAAAAGGATTTAAAAGGGTTTTTTTTCCCTCCCTTCTTTTTCAGTTTGCAGGGACCCAGCTGGCAGTGAGGGCTGGCAGAGGCTGCAGGAGCTGCTTTGGAGCAGAGGAGCAGCCTGGCACCCTTTGCTTTGCCAGAGAACACGGGCAGGGCAAATTTAAAAATGAGTTTGTTGCTGCAGCCTTAGGAGGTGAAGGGCTGAGATTCCAGAGCCTGGAGGGGCTCCAGGAGAGCTGCAGAGGGACTGGGGACAAGGATGGAGGGACAGGACACAGGGAATGGCTCCCGCTTCCAGAGGACAGGGATGGATGGGAGATTGGGAATTGGGAATTGTTCCTGGCAGGGTGGGCAGGGGCTGGGATGGAATTGCCAGAGCAGCTGTGGCTGCCCCTGGATCCCTGGCAGTGCCCAAGGCCAGGCTGGATGGGTTTGGGGCAGCCTGGGACAGCTGTCCCTGCCATGGGACAGTGAAATGAGCTGGGCTTTGAGGTCTCTCCCAACCCAAACCACTCCAGAATCCCATGATTCCACATCCAGCTGGGGATATCTCCAGGGGCCATGTCTGGGGGGCTCCGTGCCCCCGGTGGCGCGGGCAGAGCAGTGCCAGGGCCGTCCCCCCGCACAGCCCAGCGCTTTCTCTGCGCTTCCCCCGTACCTTCCTGCTCCGCAGCGGGGTTCAGGGGGATGCTGGCGGGGCTGGAGGTCCCTTTGGCGTTGCGGGCGGTGACGAGGAGGCTGCGGGCTCCGGGCGGCACCAGCACGGCGCACTCGGTGCCGGCGGTGCGGCACAGCGGCCGCGCTCCCGCCGCGCTCCCGGCGCTCACGGCGTAGCCCAGGATCCGCCCGCGGGCATCCCGCGGGGCCAGCGGCTGCGGGGACACGGCGACAGGGCTCGGGGGTGTCCCCGGGACCCCGGCTGTGCCCGCCTGCTGGCAGGTTTGGCAGGGGTGGGGGGTTCTCCTGCCGTGCCCGCGGCCGGAGGGCTCCTCGGGGAGGGCGGCACCGGCGGCGGCTCGGGGGGGAGCGGCGGAGCCGAGCCCCGCGGGGGCTGCCCCGGCCCGCCTTACCTTGATCAGGACCGTCACCTCGCGGCTGCCGTCGGGCAGCGCCCGGCCCAGGCGCCGCCACACGGCGGGAGCGGCGGCGGGGGCTGCGGAGAGCGGGGACAGCGTGAGGGACACCGTGACACACCGGGGGTGACACACCGGAGAGACACCGGGAGAGACACCGTGACACACCGGAGAGACACCGGGAGACACACCGTGACAGCCCGGGAGGGACACCGTGACACCGGAGAGACACCGGGAGACACACCGTGACACAGCCGAGGGACACCGGGAGAGACCGTGACACACCGGAGAGACACCAGAGTGACACAGCGGAGGGCACTTCGAGGGGACACCGGAGGGGACACCGGGAGTCACACCGTGACACAGCGGAGGGACACCGTGACACACCGGGGGGACACCGGGAGGGACACGGTGACACAGCAGAGACACACCGGAGGGACACCGGGAGAGACCGTGACACACCGGCAGTGACACCGGGGCACACCGGAGGGCACACCGGGAATGACACCGTGACACAGCGGAGAGACACCGGGAGACACACCGTGACACAGCCGAGGGACACCGGGAGAGACCGTGACACACCGGCAGTGACACCGGGGCACACCGGAGGGCACACCGGGAATGACACCGTGACACAGCGGAGAGACACCGGGAGGGGCACCCTGACATACGGGAGGGCACCTCGAGGGACACACCGGAGGGACACCGGGGCACACCAGAGGGACACCGTCACACACCGGGGGTGACACACCGGGAGGACACCGTAACACACAGGGGGTGACACCATGGCACACGGAGGGCCCCGAGGTCCCTGCAGCCCCCCAGGAAGCCCCCCCGCCCGGGCTGCCAGGGGAGAGGGCGCGGGCGGAGAGCAGCGCGGGCGCTGCTGCTGGGGTACAGCACCGCCGTGCCCCGCTGGGCTCCCCGGGCTGGCCGTGCCAGGCTCGTGCCCGGCCCGTGCCGAGGCCAGCAGCTGGCACGGGTGCGCGGAGCTGCCTCGGTGACCGCGATTTGTCGCCACACCGCGGCCGATGGGATTTTTCCACCCAGGGCAGCAAGCAAGGCGCTGGGGATGCTGGAATCTGCTCGGTCGGAAAAGCTGAGAACACCCAGCCCAGCCACCCCCAGCGCTGCGAGGCCACCACTGCCCCGCGTCCCCAAGTGCCACATCCGCAGGCACTTTGAACCCCCTCCAGCGTGGGGACAGGGCTGGCACATGCCACTCGCGGGTGTCGCCGGCGCTGACCCACCTGCCTCGGGGGTGCGGTACAGGAGCGGGGGGCTCCAGGCGCTCCAGGGGCTGCGGGCGGTGCCGAGCCGGCACCTGGCCTGGAACACGAACTCGGTGTCGCTCTGCAGCTCGTGCTGCCAGCGGGGACCCTCCCGTGGCACCTTGTCGCACAGCTCCACCTGCGCGGCAAGCAGGGCGCTGGGGGAGCGGGATCCAGCGGGTCCCCACTGCCACCGCCACCCCCGGGCGCGGGCACGGGCAGGACCCGCCCGGTCCCCTCCGGTGCCACCCTGCGGGGCACGGCCAGAGCCCCCAGCCGTGCTGGGAGTGTGCCACCGCGGAGGTTTTGGGGCTCCTGTGGCAGCTGGGGCCAGGCTCAGCCCTGGCAGCGCTCGGGGGTGTTCCCATCCCTGCCCCAGTGTGGTTTTGTCTGGGGTGGGCACTGAGCATCCCCCAGGATTTTGTGCCTTGTCCTCGCAGAGCGGAACGCTTGGAAACATTTGGATTTCCCTCCTTTTGCTGAAAAAGCTGAGCTAGCCCTGCCCACGAGGCCCTCTGCTGTCCCAGATGTCAGCCCTGCTGCCCCCCGAGTGCGGGTGCCCGTTTGACCAGCGCGGAGCAAAGGGGTGAGTTTGGGGTGACCCCAAATGTTCCCCTTGCCCGCGGGGTCTCCAGCGGGAGCGGGACTGGCACCTCCTCAGGGTGCAGCTGGGGGGTTTGGGGGTCTGGGGGCTCACGTGCCAGGCGGGGGTGCCCGTGGGCCTGCGCCTCTCCTCGCAGTGCACGCTCCTCAGCCGGGTCTGGCTGCTCCAGTGGGTGGTGGTGATGGCTGGGGACGTGTCCGTGGTCTCAGCCCCGACGGGCACGGGCAGAGCGGGCACCACTGTGGGGACAGGAGGGAGGGCAGGGCAGGGCGCTGTCCTTGGGCTCGGGGTGTCCCCAAAGGGACACTGCAGGGCAGGGTGGCCACGCACAGCCCCGGCATGCCGTGCTGCTCACGGGGGATGGAGGGAGGGATGGGTGTGGAGGGAGGGATGATGGATGGACGGACGGATGAGGGAAAGGATCAAGGGATGGATGAGGGATGGACGGATCAATGGAGTGATGAGGGACGGATGGATGGACGGATGGATGGATGGATGATGGATGGATGGATGGATGATGGAATTATGATGGATGGATGGATGGAGGATGGATGGATGGATGGAGGAAAGGATCAAGAGACGGATGGAGGAAAGGATGGATGGATGGACGGATGGAGGGAAGGACGGACAGGTGGACAGATGGATGGACAGGTGGGTGGAGGGAAGGATGGACAGTGGACAGACAGCCATACCCAGCTCCTGCAGGCTGAGGTGCAGCGGGGCCGAGCGGGCAGTGCCCAGCGCGTTGCTGGCCTGCACCCACAGCGAGTAGTGGCTGTCGTTGTGCAGCTCCCTCAGCAGCACAGGTGAGTCTGCAGGGAAGGTCTTTTCTTCCTCATCCTCCTCATCCCGTGCCACCACCCTGGAAGCAGAAATGCCCGTCCCAGCACCCGTCAGTGCCCATCCCAGCACCACCATCGCTGGCAGGGCCACCCTGGCTCCTGAGGTGTCACAGCTCGTGACCAGGGCATGGCCATCCCCAACCCAGACTCTGTCACCCCAAAGCGAGCTGGAAAGTCACTCCCTTCCCTGGCACTGCTGCTGGGGATTTGTATTTTCACACTGGGAAGGGAACTCCTTCCTTCATTTCTGGCTTCATGCTTTGGTTTGATCCCAAATTTAGGCAGGAGCTTTGTCCCTCCTCCTCACAAAGCTTCCATCTGACGGGATTTAATATCCTTAAAACTGAGTCAGGAGAACTGAGAGCCTGCCAGGCTGGGCCGTGGGGACCAGCCACAGCGTCCTGGGATGGCTGTGACATGCCAGGTGGCGCTGCGGGGACCTTGGTGGCAGGGAGCACCCCCGGGTGGGCTGTGGCACACCGTGCAGCGGGCAGCGCCTCTGCCCCAGCTTCAGGCTGGGCTCTGGGCTTTGGGCAGCGCCGTGCTCGCCCCCTGTGTCTCGGAGGGAGCCGCTCCGCTGGAAGCTGTGGCTGCAGGGTGGGACTGAGCCGGGCACTGCCCGTCCTGCGGGGCACAGCCCGCGGCTCTCGGCCGGGAGGTGACAGAGCGGGAGCTGCAGGAAGTGGAACTGGGGCACGGCAGTCCCGCTGCCACCGGGGTGCCACTGGGACTATTAGCAGGGCTGCCACCAGGGTGCCACCGGGGCTGTCATTGCGCTGTCACTGGGCTGTCACTGGGGGTGTCACCGGGGTGCCACCGGGACTATTAGCAGGGCTGCCACCAGGGTGCCACCGGGGTGTCACTGGGCTGTCACCGGGTGCCACTGGGACTATTAGCAGGGCTGCCACCAGGGTGTCACCGGGGCTGTCACTGCGCTGTCACCGGGTGCCACCCGGGGCTCACCTGCGCAGGTGGAGGCTGTGCCGGGTGGGCAGGTGCGTGACCCGTCCCGGCTGCCAGGCGCACTGCAGCCGCTCCGAGCCCTCGGCGATGGCGCAGCTCAGGTTGCCGGGAGGGTCCGGGGGGTCTGCGGGGGCGAGGCCGGGTGAGGGCACGGCCAGCCGGGGGCAGCCAGGCTGGCAGGGGCCGGGGCACTCACAGCCCGCCCGCAGCTCCGTGCCGCACACCAGGCTGTCGCTGTGGGGGCAGCGGGAGAAGCAGGTGACGGTGGCCAGGGGCATCTGGAAGCGGCGCAGCCGGAGCCGCACGGCGCCGCCGGGCAGGGCCAGTGGCGTCCCCGGGGCGCGGCTGTAGTTGAGGAGGATGAGGAGCTGCGGCGAGGGGCAGCGCAGCCGGGAGCGGCAGCCGATGGCGATGTCCGAGCCCAGCCGCACCACGGGCGCGGGCTCCACCCACACGCGGCCCTTGCACTTGAGGCTCGCAGCACCTGCGCCAAAGAGGGTGGGCTCGGGGCTGGCCCGGGCCAGCGGAGGGTGGGCTCGGGGCCGGCCCGGGGCAGCTGAGGGTGGGCTCGGGGCTGGCCCGGGACAGCCGCAGGTGGGCTCGGGGCCGGCCCGGAGCTGCAGAGCTCGGCAGGGAGCGGCTCTGCTCCCTGGCATGCAGCAGCAGCCCGGCTGGAGGCTGCGGCCGGGGGGTTACAGCCCGCCCTGCTCACCTTCAGCCCCGTGGGATGCTGGTGAAAGCGGGGCACGAGTGGTGCCGGGGAGGAGTTGTTGCTGGCACGGCGGGCAGGCGCTGGCACGCGGCGTCCAGAGGAGCTGGGGCTGCTCCTGGGTCCCTGGCAGTGCCCGGAGCCAGGCTGGGTGGGATCGGCACGCTCTGTCCCTGCTGGGATGAACCCCCACCCCTTCCCTCGCTGACTCATCCCGGCAGTCAGAAACGGCCCGTTTCGCCGGTTTCACCGATTTCAGGCTTCGCTCTACTGTTTAAATGACTGCAGGGAAATAACCTGCGCTCTGAGAGCTCTGATCCCCAAGATTAGGGCGGCGGGGGCGCTGCCCTTCCCTATCAGATGAAGCTCGGCAGCAGCCCCGCTCTCAGGCGCTATCGGCTCCATCTGCCCTTCCTGGAAAGGGCAGGGCTGTGCTCGGGGCTGTGGGGGCACAGGGGCTGCGGGGGGCTGGGGATGGCCCCGGGAGCCTGGGAATGGCCCTGGGAATGGCCCCGGGAGCCTGGGATTGTCCCCGTTCCAGGGAGGGGAGAGGGAAGGAGAAGCAGCTGCAGGACACGGGACCCACCCCCTGCAATGCCCCCTCAACCCCACAGCTCTGTAATTGTCCCGTTCCTACCCCAAACCCCCCGCGGGTCCTGGGCGTGGCTCGGGTGCCATCCTGGTGGCCCTGTGGCCGTCACTCACCTGGGCACAGGCAGCAGAGCAGCACGGGCAGCACCCAAGCCTGGCCGGCCCCCGCCATGGCCGGGCTGTGGCATAGTCTGGGGGGTAAAACACCGTGGAGCAAACAAACCCTGCTGGGGCAGCGGGAGCGGGGCTCGGCAGGGACATCTGAGCAGCCCTGCCTCGGGGAGGGGGGACTGGGGGGCTGGGGGTGCTGCCCCTCTGCCCAGAGCCCCCCCAGTGCTGCCGGCAGGGCTGGGCTCCCACGGGGACAGGAGGGATGAGGATGCTCTGGAATGAGCCCCCCGAGGGTCAGGAGCACCGGGAAGTGTGGAAAGGCTCGGGGAGCTGCTCAGCCTGGAGAGGAGGGGGCTCAAGGGGGATCCTTGGGGGTGGATGTCTGGTGGGGGAGTAAAGGTGAGGGAGCCAAACTCCTCCTGGCGTGGCCCAGGGGCAGGACAGGGGACAACGGGGTCAGGAAATCAGGAAATTCTAGCTAAACGTGAAGAAAAAGCTCTTTAAAGGTGGCCAGAGTGGGGCTGCTGCCCTGAGGGCTCGTCCTGCAGTCTCCATCCCTGGGGATGCTCAGACACGGTTTTATGGGATGGAAACTCCCTGTTTCCATAACCTCTTTCCCACAGGTCCTGCCCAGGCTGAGCCAGGCTCTTCCCAGCAGTGAACCCCTTGAGACAGCCCCAGAATCCCAGGCCAGGCCATCCCCCCCAGCCCCAAGGAGTCACCCGTGTGCCTGCACCCCACGGTTGCTCAGATTTGCCCCTGCTCCCTTTGCCTCTCTCCACAGCCTCTCTGGGAGAATTCCCTCAAGCCAGGAAAGAGATCCCAGCCTCACCAGCCTCGTGGGGCTGGATGTGGGGCTGGAAGGGCTCTGCAGCAAGAAGCATGGCACGGACTGCTGAGAGCAGGGAGAGGCAGCTCCCGGGGGAATTGCTCCTTTCCAAGAGAAGCATCCTCCTGGAAGCATGCCCTGGAGCCGGGGTGGCTCCAGCACCCCCACAGGCCCCTCTGGGGTCCCAGGGCAGACCCTGACCCAGCCCTGCCACCCCCATTGCCCTGCCTGGGCTGAGCCCCCAGCCAAGCCCTCGCTCCCTGATTCCCTTTCCCGTGCAATACCTGCTGTCAGGAATGGCAAGTTTCCCTGGAGGGAGGCCAGAGCCCTCAGTGCAAGCTCCAGAGTGCTGTTTTCCAGCCCAAACCAGGCCACCACGAGCAGCAGCAGCAGCAGTGAGTGCTTCTCGTGCGGGGTGAGGTGACCTGGTTTGGTTTTAGGGCTGATCAAGCACTCGTCGTGGGTGAGTCAAACTTCAAGTGCCTCCCAATTACCTGACCTACAAAGAGAGGCTGTGGGTTCCCAGGTGCCCACGAGCCTCCTGCAAACCAGGGCAAATCAAAAAAGGCATTTGGGGTCCCTATGAGAAGAGCTGGGTACTCTGAACCTGCCCAGCTATGCGAGGGGCCGCCGGCTCTGCCTCCTCTGGAATCACGTTTATGTTCTTATTCCAGTTCAGGGGCATTTGCAGGCTCCACAGCCAGAGGAACGAGGCTGTTTGGAGATGCTGGGCTTTGAGCTCATCTCTGGTGTAGCCTCCTGCTGCACTAGGGCTGAAGGAATGGGAATTGAGCACAGAAGGGAGAAGCTGCTGCACGGTGCCACCCCAAATCCCGTGGAACCTTCCCCAGGGGCAGGACAAACGCAGGAGCAGCGGGTGAGCAGCAGCAGATGGGGCCTTTGGGGTTAAATATTTAACTTTTGGGGTTAAATGCCGGGGGCTGGGAGCCGGGAAAAGCAGGGAATCCTTACCTGGGCAGTCCTTGGGATGTGCAGCACCGGGAGCTGCAGCAGCAGCAGCAGCGTGCCCTGCACAGAGCAGAGCTCCCCTCCCGGTCTGAGTCAGTCCTTGGGAAAACCCAGCGTCCCTCCGAGCTGCAGCCGCGGGCAGGGGGCACCCCAGAGCTCTGCAGGGCTTGGGCTCAGCCCGGGAGAGCCGAGCCCATCCCCAGGGCGTGCTCTGGTCTCCCTGGCAGCACAGCAGAGTCCTGGGCGCTGTCAGGGAAAGAATTTTCCTGCCGATCCCGGAGGCGTGCAATGGAAAGTCCTTAAGGAACGGGGTTGATTTCACCAGCACTGAGTGTCACCCCCTCGCTGACACCCCCTGTCACCCCCTCGGTGCCCGTGCTGTCCCCAGCTCACCCAAGGACGCTGCAGGCAGCGCATTCCCAGCGCTGGGAGATCCCGGGGATGCTCCGGGGATGCTCCGGCGCTCTGCACCCCCGGCTCGGCAGAGCCCGGCGCTTCCTCCCTCGTGCCTCTCAAAGGGTTAAACCTCAAAAACGGTGTTAACCTCATTAGACACTGCAACCACAGGAAACCCCGCGCTGCTCCCGCCTCTGCCCGGCGGGAGGAAGCGCCAGGGAGCAGCGCTGAGCCCCGGGAAGGGCAGCGCCAGCAAACCCTGCCCGCTCCGGGCTTCGGGTGGGCCGGGGGGGTGTGGAGGGGAGGGCGGGAGCCTGCAGGGACGGGGGATGGGAGAACCATGCTGGTGGTGAGGTTGTGTCATATGTGTAATGTATGTAATGTGTGTCATGTGTGTCATGTGTGTAATGCATGTAATGAGTATAATGTGTGCAATGCGTGTCATGTGTGTCGTGTGTGGTGGTGGGAACGTCTGGGTTTGTGAGGTTTCACGCACCCCGAGCAGGACCCGGGGGGGTTCAGTGGGAATTTCAGCTTTGGGATGCCCTGGAGTGCTCGGTGCCCGGGGCACACAGCTGGGCTGCACGGCCAGCGCGCACATCTGGAGCCAGGGCAGCACAGCTGGGGGAGGACAGGCACTCCTGGGCCCGGGCGGCACATCTGGAGCCAGGGCAGCACAGCTGGGGGAGGACAGGCACTCCTGGGCCCGGGCGGCACATCTGGAGCCAGGGCAGCACAGCTGGAGCTGGCAGGGGGTGTCAGGGCCCCGGGAGCCGCGGGTTCCTGCATTCCCAGCCCGTTTGTGTCCCCGTCCCCTCCCGAGATGAGGTTTCACGCACCCCGAGCAGGACCCGGGGGGGTTCAGTGGGAATTTCAGCTTTGGGATGCCCTGGAGTGCTCGGTGCCCGGGGCACACAGCTGGGCTGCACGGCCAGCGCGCACATCTGGAGCCAGGGCAGCACAGCTGGAGCTGGCAGGGGGTGTCAGGGCCCCGGGAGCCGCGGGTTCCTGCATTCCCAGCCCGTTTGTGTCCCCGTCCCCTCCCCAGCACCGCAGCCGCGGCGCGGGGCTCCCCGGCAGCGGGGCCGGGCTCACACCCGCTCCTCCCCACGGGTTTCTCTTCCCCTGCTGGGCAATCCCAGCTGCTGCCGCCCTCCCGGGCAGCCCCACCGCCCCTTCCCACCCCCGTGCTTGGGGCTCCGTGCTTTGGGTGTTCCTCGGAGCCCGATGAGGGAAACTGAGGCAGGGTGGGCTGGGCTGAGGGAGGCTCTCCTCCCGTGGGGCTGAGCTGTGGCTGCCCCGGGTCCTGCCGCGGGCAAGGCCAGGCTGGACAGGCTGGGACAAGGTGGGGCAAGGAGGGGTTTGTGCCCCCCTCCAGCCCAAACCATGCAGGATCTGTGATCCTCCATCCAGGGGTGGAACCCACCCCGGTGCCCCGCAGAGAGTCCCTCCTCAGAGAGGAAATCCCCAAAAAAGGGCCCCCAAAATTCCCCAAGGATTCTGGGGGGAAATTTTGGGTAGATTTGGGAATTTTTGGGGGGAAATTCGGAGGAGTTTTTGGGGTTTTACTGTAATATTTGGGGACTTTTTCTTGGGGAAAAATATGGGAGTTTTGGGGAATTTTTGGGAGCAATGTCAGGCTTGACCCCACCCCCTGGCCCCGGCCTCACCCCTGAGTCCCAAAATTCGGGAACTGGGAGATTTTGGGAGTTCTAGGGGGAAATTCAGGTGGTTGGAGAAGGGAATTTGGGAAGTTTAGAGAGAATTTTGGGGAAAATTTGGGGGGGGGGATTTGAGGAAAAAATTTGGAATTTGGGGGAGAATTATGGGAATTCTTTGGGAAAAATTTGTAGTTTTGGGAAAAATTGAGAGATTTAGGGAATATTCTGGGAGTTTAGGGGCAAAAATTGTGCTTTTTTTTTTTTTTTTTTTTGGAAAATCTGGAAATTCGGGGGGAATTTTGCGGGATTTTTTGAGAATTGTTTGGGGGGTTTAGATTTGGAGGTTTTTGGGGGTTCCCTGCACGGGGGACACGGGGACACAGAGGACACAGGGACACGGGGGACACAGGGGGACACAGGGGCACAGTGGGACACAGGGGGACACAGTGGGACACAGGGGACACAGGGACATGGGGACACAGTGGGACAGAGGGGCACAGTGGGACACAGGGGGACACAGTGGGACACAGGGGGACACAGGGACACAGTAGGACACAGGGACAGGCTCGGAGCCCTCTCGCCCTGCTGGCAGCTGCGAGGGGACACGCGGATCTTTGATCCTGAAGCTGCCGCGGTGGCACCTGAGCCGGGGCTGGGGGCACTGTCCCTGTCCCCACGGGGGCCTCCCTGTCCCCGGTGGGGCTCGGGGACAGGGACAGGGACATGGCCGGGGACAGGAAGGGGCTGCTCGCTCCGCGCCGCTGGCACGCTGCGGGCAGGGTTAGGTTCTCTCTGCCCTGGAGCAGTGAATGTCCCCAAGCCGGGCTGGGGACAGCTGCAGGAACAGGAAGGTGACGCCAATGTCAAAGGGGTTCGCTGTGATTTTTGGCTGGGGTAAAAGGGCAGCCGAGATAAGGAGGAGCTGCTCCCGGACTTTAAAAGTCACTTTGTCCTTCCTGCGAGCCGTGCCAGGGCTCAGCCCCGCTCGGGGCCGGCAGCACGGGCACGAACCGGGGAGAGCTCGGGCAGGGATCGCCCTCCCTGCCAGGGCAGCGTGCGGGGCCGTGCCAGCCCCTCGGAAGTGGGAACGTGCGGCCAGGCAGGTCATGGCAGCGGGAAAACCGGGAATAACCCATCCCAGAGGGGCTGCCACGCTGCCATGGGCAGGGGCGATGTGTGTGCCCTGCTGCTCCCTCCTCTCTCCGGGAATAACCCATCCCAGAGGGGCTGCCACGCTGCCACGGCCGATGTGTGTCCCCTGCCTTCCCTCCCCACTCCGGGAGCGATCCCAGACCGGCCCGGGGGGGGTAAAGCCGTGTGGATGGGCAGGGATGGGGTGGCCTTGGCAGCATGGGCTGTGAGGGCTTTTCCAGCCCGAATCACCCCGGGTTTTATGGGGTTGCTGCTGTTCCCGAGGTGAGCTGATCCCCATCCCCATTCCCCCCCCAGCAGCGGGGCAGCTCCCCCCTGGCTGCAGCTTTGTCCCTGTGTCCGTGTCCTGTCCCCGACAGGGACCGAGCTGTGCCCCGCGGCATGGGGCAGAGGGAGCGGGCTCCCGGCGGTGACAGCGAGCTGTGCGTGTCACCCTGTCCCCAGCCCTCAGTCCCCGCAGGCCGGAGGCGTTTCTGTGCTCCTAGCCGCCCTGTTTTGGGATTTTTCCACTTGGCGGAGCACGGCCCGGAGGGGAAGATTTAATCTGTGAGAGGGAAGGGCCGGTGCCAAACTCCTGCGAGCGGGGTCAGCCCGGGGCAGCACCGGGCAGGGCCGTGCCAGCGCGGTCTGACCCCTCTGCCGTGCCCGGGGGAGGGGGCCCTGTGCCCCTGCCCGCACACGGGACACGCCTTTGGTGTCCCCTGGCCCCTGCAGTGCCCCCGGGCAGTGCCACCCCGTGTGTCACCTCACCCACGCCCCCGTCCCCTCCTCGTGCCCCCCACGCCAGCCCCGTCCCACCCCCATCAATGTCCCCATGCCAGCCCCTGTGCCACCACCCCACCCATCACTGTCCCCATCCCTGTCCCCACCTCTGTGCCATGTCCTCGTGCCTGTCCCTATCCCTGTGCTCCCTACACCATGTCCCCATCCCCTATACCGTGTCCCGACCCCTGAACGCTGTCCCCTGTGCCATGTCCCCATCCCTGTCCTTTATACCATGTCCCCATCCCCGTCCCCATCCCCTGTACCATGTCCCCGTCCTTGTCCCCATCCCCTATCCCTGTCCTCTGTACCATGTCCCCCATCCCTGTCCCCCATCCCTGTCCCCACCCTATACCCTGCCCCATCCCCTATACCGTGTCCCCACCCCTATCCCTGTCCCACCGCTGTCCCCTGTACCATATCCCCAATCCCTGTCCCCACCCCCAATCCCTGTCCCACCGCTGTCCCCATCCCCTGCACCCTGTCCCATCCCTGTCCCCTATACCATGTTCCCATCCCTGTCCCCATCTCCTATCTCTGTCCCCCATCCCTGTCCCCTCCCCTATCCTTGTCCCACCGCTGTCCCCTATCCCTGTCCCCATCCCCTATCCCTGTCCCACCGCTGTCCCCCATCCCTGTCCCTCCCCTGTTCCCATCCCCTGTCCCCTATCCCTGTCCCTCCCCTGTCCCCATCCCCGAGGGGGCGGCCGAGGGGGGAGCCCCCGCCGGAGCCCCCGCGCGCGGCGATGCGGAGCGGGGCATGGCGGCCCCGCCGCTCTGCCTGCGCCTGCTGGCCGCCGCCTTCTACGGCCTCAGCTCCTTCCTCATCGTCGTGCTCAACAAGAGCGTCCTCACCACCTACGGGTACGGCCGCGCCGGCGGGACCCCCGGGACAGGGGTGTCCACGGGATCGGGAATCCCCGGGGATCGGGACACCCCGGGGATCGGGACCCCCTCGGGATCGGGAATCCCCCCGGGATCGGGACCCCCCTGGGATCGGGGTACCCACGGGATCGGGAATCCACCCGGGGATCGGGAATCCACCCGGGGATCGGGACACCCCTGGGATCGGGGTATCCCCGGTATCGGGAATCCACCCGGGATCGGGGTACCCACGGGATCGGGACCCCCCGGGATCGGGGTACCCACGGGATCGGGGTATCCCCGGTATCGGGAATCCACCCGGGATCGGGGTACCCCCTGGGACCGGCATACCCCCACTGTGGGATCGGCAGTCGCCCCGGGATCGGGACCCCCCCACCCTGGGATCAGGAAACTCCCGAGACCAGGACCCCCCGGGTCGGGGACCCCCCACCCTGGGATCGGGATACCCCCATTGTGGGATCGGGAATCGTCCCGGATCGTGACCCCCCCACCCCGGGATCTGGAGTCCCCCCGGGATCGGGAATCCCCCCCGGGATCGGCCGTGGGAAGGGGTCGGCACCCCGCCATCCCCCCGTCCCTGCGCTCGGTACCCCCGGTGTCCCCCCCTGTCCGGTCCCTCCCGGCCCGTGGCACCCCGTGCCGCCCCCGCCGTCCTGTCCCTGCCTGGGCGTCCCGCGGGGTCCCGGTGCTCCGGGGACCCCGGCGTGGCACCCCCCGACGAGTGCTGTCCTCCCGCAGGTTCCCGTCCTCGCTGTGCGTGGGGCTGGGCCAGGTGAGTGGCACCCGTGTCCCCGCGCCCGGCCCGGGGTGAGCCCCGGCTGAGCCCCGGGTGAGCCCTGGCTGAGCCCTGGCTGAGCCCCGGGTGAGCCCTGCTCTCTTGCAGATGGTGGCCACGGTGGCCGTGCTCTGGGCGGGGAAGGCGCTGCGGGTGGTCAAGTTCCCTGACCTGGACAGACACATCCCCCGGCGGGTGAGAGCCCTCCCTGGCACCCGAATCCTGTCCTCGGGCACCCAAATCCCCTTCCTGGGCACCCGAATCCCCTCCCCGGGCACCCGAATCCCCTCTCTGGGCTCCCAAATCCCCTCCCCAGCCCCCAAATCCCCTTCCCGGGCACCTGAATCCCCTTCCCGGCACCCGAATCCCCTTCCAAGGACCCAGCTCCCCTCCCCGGGCTCCTTTCCCAGCCCCGGGGTCCCTGTCCCACCAGGGCTCTTTGGGATGCCCGTGCCTATTCCCGGGGTCCTGCAGCTCCGGGACACGTGTGAGTGTGAGTGTGAGTGTGAGGGAAGGTTTCCATGTGTGTGAGTGTGAGGGAAGGTTTCCCTGCCGGGCGGCAATAATCCCACAGTAATCCCGTTCAGTTTTCATCCCCCGAGGCTGCCCGGGAGCTCCCGCAGCTCATCCCTGTCCTTTGCAGACGTTTCCCCTGCCTCTGCTGTACTTCGGGAACCAGATCACGGGACTGTTCAGCACCAAGAAGCTGAAGTAGGGAAGGCTTTCCTGCTGGGAGGGTTCCCGTTCCTCGGGGCTTCCCGGGAGCCCTGCGGGGCCGGGCTCAGCGTGGTGGGGCCGGAGCCGCCGGGGCCGCGCTTCCCTCCCTCCCTTCCTTCCCTCCCTTCCCTCCCTCCCTGCCCACGCGGGATGTGCCACGTGCTGTTCCCAAATGCTCCCCGCGGGCAGGGAGGGACACGGGGCTGGCCCTCATCCATGGGGTGAACTCGGGGGTGTCCCTGGGGTCTGCCCTCATCCACGGGGGGGGCTCAGGGGTGTCCCTGGGGTCCCCATCCCGGCAGGCTCAGATCTAAGGGGGTGTGGGAGCAGTGCCATTCCCATAAGGGAATTCCTCACTGAGGGCAGGGGCAGGCTGATCCCATGTCCCTGCTGTGATCCCATATTCCTGCTGCGATCCCATATCCCTATTTTGATCCCCTATCCCTGCTGCGATCCCATATCCCTGCTGCGATCCCATATCCCTGCTCCCATCCTATATCCCTGCTGTGATCCCATATCCTTCCTCCCATCCCATATCCCTGCTCCCATCCCATATCCCTGCTCCCATTCCATATCCCTGCTGTGATCCCATATCCCTGCTCCCATCCCATATCCCTGCTGTGATCCCACATCCCGCTGACGCCGGCCCTGCCCCGCAGCCTGCCCATGTTCACGGTGCTCCGGAGGTTTTCCATCCTCTTCACGATGTTTGCCGAGGGATTCCTGCTCAAGTGTCCCATCCCATATCCCTGCTGTGATCCCACATCCCGCTGACGCCGGCCCTGCCCCGCAGCCTGCCCATGTTCACGGTGCTCCGGAGGTTTTCCATCCTCTTCACGATGTTTGCCGAGGGATTCCTGCTCAAGTGAGTGCTCCCGGCCCGGGACGGCTCCGGGAGGGAGGGAGGAGAGGGGGCGGGGGCAGGAGCTGGGATCCCTTCCCGAGGGAGCTGGGAGAGGGATGTGGGGCTGGGAGAGAGGGATGTGGGGCTGGGAGAGAGGGATGTGGGGCTGGGAGAGAGGGATGTGGGGCTGGGAGAGAGGGATGTGGGGCTGGGAGAGAGGGATGTGGGGCTGGGAGAGAGGGATGTGGGGCTGGGAGAGAGGGATGTGGGGCTGGGAGAGAGGGATGTGGGGCTGGGAGAGAGGGATGGGGGGCTGGGAGAGGGATGTGGGGCTGGGAGAGAGGGATGTGGGGCTGGGAGAGGGGGATGTGGGGCTGGGAGAGGGATGAGCTGCTCTGGCTCCACTTTGGGAGGTGCAGGGTGCCGTGCCAGCCCCAGCTCCTGCAGGGAGCCCAAAGCCCTCCCAGCTCCTGCAGGCTGAGCTCTTTATCCTCTAAAGAAACCTCAGAGATCATTGTCTGAAATGCCTTCACTCACTGGCAGTCAGGTTGGGGTTGGGTTGGGGTTTTTCCCCCTTTCCTCAGCAATAAAATCCCCTCCCTGCTCAGAGTGCTCCCAGGGTCTGAGCAGTGGCTGATGCCGTGTCCTGCTGCCTCTGTTTCCCAGGAAGAAGTTTTCCTGGAGCATTCAGATGACAGTATTTGCCATGATCTTTGGTGCATTTGTGGCTGCCAGGTGAGCTGTCCCCATCCCCAGATCCCAGAGGGTCCATGCCAGGGGCAGTGCAGCTCCCTGGTGTGTCCCAGGAACAGAGGCATTAAACACTGACTTTTCCCTGTGCTGGATCCCAAGAACAGAGGCATTAAACACTGACTTTTCCCCCTGTCCTCTCTGGTAGGAAAGAATGTTTTCCTGACCCAAATCCCACCCCTCCTCCCAGGATTAGCTTTTCCTGACAGCTTGCTGGCTGCACAGAAGCTGGAAGGGCCCTTCCCCTGCACAGCCAGAGCTTTAACTCCAGGTTTTGCCCTTGCAGTGCTGACCTGGCATTCGACCTGGAGGGATACATTTTTATCCTCATTAACGACGCCTTAACAGCTGCAAACGGTGCCTACGTGAAGCAGAAGCTGGATTCCAAGGTGGGATGGGCTCTGCCTTCCTCCGGGATGTTGGGATTTTGGGCTTGGTTTCTGTGAGGGCCGAGTGGGACACTCAGCCATCCCATTCCCCAAATCTGGAGAGGGACTGGGGACGAGGCATGGACTGGACACAGGGAGTGGCTTCCAGAGGGCAGGGATGGGTGGGATATTGGGCAGGGGCTGGGATGGAATTCCCAGAGCAGCTGGATCCCTGCAGTGCCTGGAGCAGCCTGGGGCAGTGAGGGTCCCTGCCCAGGGCACTGGATGAGCCTTGGGGTTCCTCGCACCCCAGAGCAGGCTGGAGTTCCTGAGATGCCAGAAGCCCGGGTGGGTTGGGCTGCGGGGCAGCGTGGGCAGGGCTGCTCCCCCCCTGCAGCCCCGCGTGTCCTGTTTGCAGGAGCTGGGCAAGTACGGCCTGCTCTACTACAACGCCCTGTTCATGATCCTGCCCACCCTGGCCATCGCCTTCGTCACGGGGGACGCGCACAAGGTGGGACACACACCCCAAACCCGTCCCACAGCCAAACCCGTCCCACACCCCAAACCCGTCCCACACCCCTGGGGCTGGGCACACTGACTGTTCCCTGGGCAGCCTGGGGGGGGCTGCCCCAAAACCCCCTCAGCAGAAGGGAGCACAACTTTTACGTTGAGTTTAAACCCACAGAGTTGCTCCATTCGGGCGTTTTTGTAACGCCTGAGGAATGGGGAAGTGGAGAGCAAGAAGGAAACTCAAATATTATTTAGAGAAGCTGAGTAATTTTAGCATCAATGAGTTTCTTCAGGCTTCTTTTTCTGCCCTTCCCCTCTCGCTGGGGCAGTTTTGTGCAGTTGCTCTGTGGGTTCACTTTGCTTGTAGTGCCTGTGATCTTGGAGATGATAATAATATTAATAATGCTAATAAATAAATAAAATAACAATAGTAATGATAATAGTTATGATGATGTGATAATAATAATATTAATAATATTAATCATCATCATCTATGGTTCTGTATTAATGACATTATTCTTTATTATTACTGTGATTATAATTATTTACCTGTGGTCCTGTATACATGACATCATTAATTATTATAATTATTATTATTATTATTATTATTATTATTATTATTATTATTATTATTACTATTATTATTACTATTACTATTATTATTACTATTATTATTACTATTATTATTACTATTATTATTACTATTATTATTATTAATTGGTTTTGTGTTGCTGCACTCACTGATGTGCAGCTGAGCAACAAATTCCCTTTTCCTGCCTGTTTTTTGGAAATTTCCGTGTGCAGGGAGTTCAGATAAATCCTGTCCTCCCCAGGCTGGAGGTGTTGCCCACCCCGGGGGTGGCTGTGTGTCCCCTGCCAGCCCCTGTGTCCCCCAGCCTGGTGGCTTTGTCCTCGTTAGCAGCTTAAGGCCCAGGGATAACGAGCCAGCTGGGCAGGGATGGCAGAGGGGGGGAAGGTGGCTCAGCCCCCCCTCCAGAGCAGCTCCCGGGGCTGGATTTGGGATAAAAGTGCTCATTTAGGAGCAGGAGCTGGGCCTGGGCAGGAGAACGTTGCTGTGAGCAGCCTCTGTTCAGCCCGGAGAGGGAAATGGCTTTTTTGACTTTGCTTTTGCCCTGAATAAACTCCTTTCTGGGCGGCACAAAGATGTGCTGTGTGCCGGGGCTGCTGCCAGGAAACTCCGCCTTGGCAGCTCCGGGAGAACCCGGGGGGCTGGGGCCTCTGTCCTGTGGCTCTGGGGTCCCTGTGCCCCCTCCGAGGCTCCCCAGGTACACATCCTGCTCTGGGCAGCATTCCTGGGGAAAAGGGGCTGGAGGAGCTGCAGGAATTGGGGAATTCGGTGTCCCTGGGAAGGGTGTTCCCTGCCCCAGGCATTCCCTGCCCAGCCGGGAGGGGTGAGGGCAGCAGCTCTTGCCCTGGGGCTGGGGCTCCACCTGGATTCTGGGTGTCTCCGAGGATGGAGACGTTCCCTGGGCAGCCTTTGCCCCTCTCCAGGTCCTGCAGACATCCAGAGGCACCTCCCTGTGTGTCCCTGTGTGCCCCTGGCTCTGGGGTGCTGTCCCTGGGCACCTTGGCAGAGCCTGGCTCCTGGGTGAGGCCCCTGAGCTCTCCTCAGGGGTGCTCCAAACGCTCCCCAAACCCCAAAAGCCCAGGGGAAAGCCCTTCCCTGAAATCCAGGCTGCCTCCAGCCCCTCTGGGCAGCGTCTCCAGGTCACAGCTCCCTTGGGATGAGAGTTGTGGTTTGCAGGGAGTGAATTCCAAAATGATCCAGTTCTGGGGAGCAGCCAGCTGGGAGAGGCCTCTCCTGGAAAAGACAGGGAGTGAGGGCTTGTGGCACTGATGCCCTGCCTTTTCCAGAGGGAATGAGCCGGCTGCTGGGGCTGGAGGTGCTGCCAGTGGGGATGCCCAGCCTTGGGATGTCATTCCGGGCTGGAACGGGGTTGGTTTTTCCTGCTGTGGGGTGCCAGGCCGTGCTGGGGGGCTGTTCCTTGCCTTGCTGGGAGCTGTGTGTGCTTGGCAAGGCTCTGAGCTGCTGTTCCTGCAGGCAGTGGAGTACCAGGGCTGGGCAGACTCCTTCTTCCTCGTGCAGTTCACGCTCTCCTGTGTGATGGGGTAAGGACCAGCTGCGAGCAGGGCAGGCTCCTCCATCCCAGAAACTGGGGGTGCTGCCCTGGTGTTACTGAAATCCATCATAAACCCCCAGTCCTGCCCGGGACACCGTTCCTGAGAGCTCTGGATTATCTCCCACCCTCCTGCAGTGCAGGTTTAGCTGAAAAAGTGGGGAAAAAGGGTGGGAATGGATCCTGGAATCCTGGAGTGCTTTGGGCTGGAGGAACCTTAGGCTCAGCTCATTCCCTGAAGGATGGGACCCCTCCCAGGGCCAGGGTGGTGGGATGAGGTGGTTCCCAAGGACCCCTCCCAGGGCCAGGGTGGGGGGATGAGGTGGTTCCCAGGGCCAGGGTGGTGGGATGAGGTGGTTCCCAAGGCCAGGGTGGTGGGATGAGGTGGTTCCCAAGGTGCTGGCCCTGATCTTGGCTCTTTCCCACAGGTTTATTTTGATGTATTCCACAGTTCTTTGCACTCAGTACAACTCTGCTCTTACAACTACAATAGTTGGCTGCATTAAGGTGAGTGGCATTCCCTGCTCCCAAAAAAGCCCCTCAGTTATCCCTTGGGAATTGCATTAACCCCTCGTGTTCCACCCCCTGCATTCCCTTTTCCATAAATTCCCTTTCCCATACGTTGCTGTGTCTCAGGCTGTTTGTTCCTCCCATCTTGTTCCTTTGCAGAATATTTTAGTAACCTATATTGGGATGTTTTTTGGAGGAGATTATATTTTTACATGGATGAACTTCATTGGTCTAAATATCAGGTAAGAGCAGAGGTTTATTTGTGATTTGTAAGTGGAAACTGGGGTGAAACTGGGACAATTTGACAGATTTAATGGATTTGGGTTTTTGTACTTGGTCTTTTTGTGCTTGTGCTTGGGTTTTGTGCTTTGTGCTTAGGTTTTTGGGATGCTCCCAGACTTGGTTTGTTTTAAAGCCAGGAGAATCCACAGGGGTATTGTAGCAGGAAAATGGAGTTTTCCCTGAGCTGCCAAGCAGAGTCATGGAATTAAGGCAACAAAAGAAGAATTTTGGGGATTATTTAATTTCCATTATTATTTTTGGGGGGATTATTTCAATGTCAAGAATTTGGGGATTATTTCTTATTATTCAGCTTTGGAAGGGTCTCCTTTTTGGGGTGGGCTGTGGGAGTCTCTCCTGTCCTTCAGCAGGATCCCTTTGGGAGTGGGACAGACCTGGAGCAAAACAAAACCGCCGTGTCTGGGAGGACAGCTGGGAATTCTGCTGGAGATGGGTGGCTCTGCCCTTTCCTGGCCGTGTGTTTGATCCCCCCCTGCCCCCCGGCTTCTTGCAGTATTGCTGGGAGCCTGGTGTACTCCTACATCACCTTCAGCGAGGAGCAGCTGAGCAAGGAGCCCGATGCTGGCAGCAAGATGGACACCAAAGGGAAGAGCTCGGTGTGAGCAGGGCGAGGCTGCTGGGCTTTGGCACCGACCTCTTCTGCTCGCCTGATGCGGGCAGAGCGCGGGGAGCCCCGGCGTGCTCTTGATTTGCACAGCTGAGATTGCTGCCTTCACAAATCCTGGGGGAGATGCACCCAGCCTGCGCGGGGTGGGGGGAGGATGAGCCTAATTAAGCCTGATCGGGAGGAATTAACGGGTTTCTAATCAAGCCGGGAGTTGGCAGCGAGACGGGCAGGGCAGGGCAGGGCAGGGCTGGCAGTTCTGCTGCCAGGGTGTGCCAGGGCTGTCCCTGGCTGGGTCTGCTCCCCGGGATCCCTGCCTCTGCAGATCCCAGCGGGGTGGGAGGCTGGGCAGGCTCCGTGCCCAGCCCGTGCCCAGCCCGCTCCCTCTGGAGCACGGGAATGCCCTGGGAATGCCCGGAGCTGCTCCTGGGCTGGGCCAAGACCTCCTGGAGGAATGTTCACTGCTCTCTGGACTTCACTTGTAGCTGTTTTCTGTTGGTTTTCTGTCTGTTTGGTCCATTAAGCCACTTTCCCAGCTGGGTTTGCCCTCCTGGGTCTGTCAGAGCCCTGCATCCACCCCTGTCTTGCCGGGGCTCGGCGACATTCCCAGCAGGAAGGGTTTTCCTGCCCTGCTGAGCTCTGCAGCCTCCCTTGGATCCAGCCTTGCCTTTGGGAAAGCTGCTGCCTTACTGGGGAGATCACCAGGGAGGAGCTGCTGGGGTCACAGGAGAGCCAAGGTTGTCCCACCTGGCACAGCACATCCAGGGAATCTGCAAGGGCTGCAGCCCCCACCCCTGCAAGAGGCACAAGGACTTGAATCTTCTTTTTTGGCAACTACAGGGGGCCCCATAATTCTTGTTTTCCACGGAATGAATCACCCTGGGTTTGTGACCCACTAAAAGAAAGGAATTGTACAACACTGGGCAGTGTTCAGAGATTTTCAAAGGTTGTCTTACCCAGCACCTCTTTCCAGGTCTCCTTGGGTTGTCTTTCGGGTTTAAAAGAATTGTTTTTAAGCTTGGTTAAAAAACTTTTAGTAAAATAATGTATTTAGAGATTTTTGTACCCTAACAGCTTCTGTAGACACTGGCAGTGGGGTTTTTTTAGGAGATATTTGCTTAAACTGAACTGCTGTTGGGCAAAGCTGCATTTGTTGGAGTTTCCTGGAAGTTTTTGGATGAGAAGATTTTCCCTGAGGGTGCAGCTCCAGCCTGGTGTGCTGGGGAAGGTGTGGAGTGAGTCAGCAATTCCAGAGCCACAATCCCCCCTTTTTTTTGTGGGATTTTGTGGTCACTGCAGGGCAGTTGGGGTGTCCTGGAGTAGTCCCTCAGCACATCCCCCTCTGAGCACAGTGAAAAAGAAATCCCTGATTATTTTGGCTCCCAAAATTCCAGTAAAACCTCGGCTTTGTCCAGGGGAGGGAGGGTCACAAACCCTTCCTGGAGTGCAGAAGCTCCCCAGTCCCAGCCCAGATGGGGCTGCTGGTCCCAGTTCTGGTTCTGTCCTGGTCCCAGTTCTGGTTCTGTCCTGGTTCCCAGTGCCCAGGTGCTGCTGGGGTTCCTCCCCCCAGCTCCTGCCCCTTGCTGCAGCATTCCCAAGTCCCAAATCCCAGTTCCCAAACCCCAAATCCCTTTTTTCTCCCCCGTGTGCTCCGACTCCGCCGTGCCGAGGTCACAGCCAGGAGGGTGACTCTGATTCTGCCAGAGGGGTTTTTATGATTTTCTCTTTGTTGTTGAATCTACTGGTTAGATTTGCAGTCCTAACAGAGAAGGATTTTTAAAGCTTATTTTGGGATCCTGCTGGATCCTCAACACTGGGAAAGCCAAGAATTCCTCTAACAGTATTTTCTATGCTATTAATTGACTAAAAAAATGTTTTCTATAGAGAATCTATTTACAAAATGAGCATTTTAGTGATGAAAACCTGAATGTATGGCAGGCTGTGGATGTGAGGAATGAGAGCAGAAAGGATTTATGTGCCTCTGTATTTTTGTATTTGCTTCCAATAAACCAATGAACCAAAGCTGCTGCTTCCCTGCCTGGGGAGGATGGGAGTGGATCCATCAGGGATTTAGGGGGCTCCTCACAGCCCCAGTCCCAGCAGGGTGAGGGAGGGATTCCAGCTTTGAATATTCCCTGAGGAGGGATTTGGGAACCATTATGGGGAATGAAGGGAACAGCTGGAAGTTGATCCAGAAAAATGGGTTTTGTTCCCATGGGTTTCAGTGCAGAGGAGAGTCACTGCTCTCCCATCCTCTGAGATATTCCACGCCTCTGGAGCAAAGAAAGGCAGGAATTTTGGATGCAGACAGTAAGTTTAAAAATATTTTAATAAGCTTTTCCAGAATTGCAGACGGGGAAGGGGAGTCAGAGGAGGGAATTACTGACAGTGCAAAATACTGTGTGGAAAAAATGTATCCAACCGTTCTGTAGGGTTTGTGTGTGTGTGGAGGGGAATTTATAGCACAGTGAACCCTCTGGGAAGCCCAGGGATTTCCTGTTGGACTGGATTCCCAACTGTACAGAAGGCTTGGAAAATGAAAGCACAGTTAGCAGATTTCCAGGATTTTCAATAGCTTTAGTAGTGCAATGACTTATCGAGTTACAGTGGCTGCAGTTTGAAACATGAACAAAGTATTGTATAAAACACCAGCATAAACAAAAGGTAAATTAGAATTAAATATTCTTAAATCTAGCTGAGCATTACATAGTGGATTATGGAATGTCAGGTCTCTTCTAAGTATCACCAAAAAAAAAAAATAAGGAAAGATAAAAAAGAAAGCAACATTCCTGAAAATATACACAGTGCTGGATTTCACACACGAGCCTGAGACAATTCATTTGGAAACTTTCCTATGGATTTTTGGGAACTATTTCCAACTTGCAACCGAAAACAAAGAGCATCAAAATAAAACTGAGAACAGGATTCTGCTTGTGTGGAACCGTCTTTGAGGTTCTGCTCATGACCAGAGGGGAGAGTTAACAGCAACCTCTGCCCCAGGCATTAATCACTGCGTTCCTTAATTAACACAGGCCTGAATTAATGAACCTCACCCAGAGGCTCTCAGGAGCGGGGCTGGCAGGCAGAGCTGATCACTGCCCAGGTTCCTGCAGCCACAGCCCCTCCTCATCCCGAGGCTCGGCTCATTCCTGATCACAAAGTCCAAGGGAAGTTCAGTGGAGAAGAAACCAACTCAGCCCAAGCCCTCAGCAGTGGGGCTTGGGCTAAAACATCCATTTCCAACCAGTCAGTTCAACTGGAACCATAAAGAGCATGACCCTGCAGAGAAAATAACCAGTGAGGGATGAACAGCACACCTGTGAGGAGGAGACACGGGGTCAGCAATGGTACAACTGAACAATTATCCCGGGTTTTACCAGAGCAGAGGTGCAGCTGGGCTGAAGGAAACAACCAAACAAAACCAAAGTGAACGGGGATTGCAAAGGCTCCTGATTGCTGGATGTAAATCCTCCCCCCAGCTTTTGAGTGGTGCTGCTGGCAGGGTGAGCATCACCCTGCTCCCACGTACTCAGGAGGAATTTTTGGTTTTCACACTGCAGTTAGTCCTCCCCAGCTCCACCTGACATTCCTGCTCTCCCTTCTCCAGGGGAGCGTGTCCCTGTGCACCAACACTGACCGCCAGGATCTTTAGGTTGGAAAAGACCTTTGAGATCATCAGGTGCTCCCAGTGCAGCCGTGCTGTGCTGCTGAGGAATTGCAGCTGCATTCCAGGCAGTGCAGCCCCTGCAGCCCCTGCAGCCTGCCAGGCACAGACTGGAAACAAAGAGCATGATGGAGCAGCTGAACCTGAAGGAGGTTCAGTAAACTCCACAATTTGGCTGCTGGGAGATTTCTCTGAGTTCCAAACAAAGGGAGAAAGAAAGCAAGGAAATGTGTGCAATGCAAGCAGCATGCTTAACAAAAATTGAAACATCATTATTTGCCATAAAACAAGAAAAAAACCACGTTTCCAAAATCAAATGCCTCCTAACCATTCTTATGTTAATTATTTACCAGTTTCTGGGAAGGAAATTAACACGTTGGTGATTAATTTTTAACTCCATTGGTTTGGTTTGGTTTGGTTTGGTTTGGGGTTTTTTTTGTTGGGTTTTTTTTTTTAGAAAAGACTTCAGCAAAATAAAAGGAAGCTGACATTAGACTCAGGGTATCAACTCTCTCATAAAAGTTTACCAACTGTACAAGGTAAGAAAATTATACAAGCTTTTGTTTTAAGAAAGGACAGTTCAATCAAGACATAAGTACTGTAAAAATCTTTCAAAGGCTACAAAGAAATCTGGAAAAATACAGAATGTATTTCTTTAGCCCAGATAAAGAATATGGAAAGACATCATTGATGTCAACAATTTTACATAGACAAACCTGACCTGGTTTATTTATTTACCTTTTAAAACTTCTATATATAAAAATAGTTGTGCTCATAACTTTCAGGATTCATGAGGGTTCCTTAATGATGGGATGACATTTTCCTCTCTCCAGCAGGAGTGGAAGTCTCTGTGCCTGCTCTGTCTTGGCTTTTCCTGTTTTATTTTAACTTCCTGCAAAGCCCCAAACGCTTTGTTCACTTGTACACTGATTAAATGTTGTTTTGTACATTAAAATGCTGTATTAACACATTCTTTAATGTGTTAGGCTGGGAATATTTTTGCAGCAACTCACTGCTTTGTTCCTTAAATATTTACGAGCCTTTTATCCCAGAACTGCAGCTGCCAGCTCTGAGAAATTCAATATTCTCCTGCTGCTTTTCAGCACTGAAGAAAACAAAATATTGGATCTTTAGAGCCGACTAGAAGGTCTCAGGAAACAAACAAAAAAATCTCAGATTGTTTATGGAACTGGACTTTGGAAGGTAACCCATCAACCCTGAAAATTTTAGACACCCAGAATTTACTCCAAGGAATAAAATCAGCTCCCAGCACTCAGTCATCCAAAGTTTCCAGCTCCTCCAGCTTCCCGTGGGAGTTGGTTTCCTGGAAGAACTCTGAAGCACCCGGGCTCTCCTTCCCACTGCTGTTAATTCTTCTTCTTTTCAGAGGCCTCTCGCTCTTTTCTTCCAGCTCAGGCTCGTTCCTTGGGGCTGAGTGAGCAAGTTTGGGGTCACTGCAGAGGTTTTCGGGTTCGTAGCCGTTTGTGTCCAGCTCTGAGTGAGGGGTTTTCTTCCCACTGCAAGGTCCATTGGCGTGCAGCCCCTCCAGCTTTGCCTCCTCCTTCCCTGGCACCTCCCCTGGGCCGTTGGCAGAGACACCTGGGGAGAGAAACCCATCAGCAAGGCTCAGCAGCAGCACAACAGCCTGGGCTGCCCCAGGAAAGCTCAAACTCATTAAAAATCCCGTG